GGAGGGCGTCGGGGGACGCCTCGTTGAGGGTTTCGGCACGCCGGGCGTGCCAGCCATGGCGGGGGCACAGGACAAACGGGCGGAGCGCAGTGTTGGGTGGGCCTGCCCCTCTCGCAGGTGTGTGGGACAGCAGTCCCCGGAGAGCGGTCCTAACGCGCCCCCTCGCCGCCCGCCAGGTATTTCGAGTGGAGGTGCTGTGCCGCGGGCGCAGACACACCGTGCCGAGGCGCTACAGCGAGTTCCACGCGCTGCACAAGCGGGTGAGGGGGCACCGACGGCACTCAGACCCCGGCCCGCCCCTGGGAAGTGGGAGGACGAGCTCCGGTCCCGGCGCCACTCCCTTCACACCCCTGTCCCCCCACCCCCACCCCCGGGCTGCGGGGCCACGGTCAAGAGGGTATAGGGGACACGCCGCAGCCTGCAGCCCGCACTGCCCCTGTCCCGGTGGCTGACCCGCCCTCTCTGGGGCATCTGGAAAACTTGGGGTCGTCCCCATCGTCAGTTCCCCGGGACATCCCAGGGTAGAATCCATTTGAGGGGCGCGGGTGGGGAGCGGGGAGCAGTGAGGTGAATTGTTGGCTGGGGTAGAGCGGGTCCAAGGGCTCAGCCAGGGATCTGTGACGCCCGGTGCAACCCACCCCCGGCAGATCAAGAAACTGTACAAAGTGCCTGACTTCCCCTCCAAACGCCTGCCCCACTGGAGGAGCCGGGGCCTGGAGCAGCGACGGCAGGGCCTGGAGGCCTACATCCAGGTATGCGCGGGCCTGTCTCCTCTGCAGGTTCCCGAGCGCCCGCGAGTCTGCTCACCGTGCTTCCTGGGTACTCTATCCCTGCCAGGGACTGTAACGTTGAAAAGACGTGGTGCTTCTGTGGGTTTGGGGAAGAGACAGATGCCAGCCATGACTAGAAGCAGAGTCTCTGATGTGATGACAAAAAGGGGAATTGTTCACTGTAAGATTAATAAGTAAGCACAAGCAAACCGGTGCTTGCCATGTTAGTTGGTTTTCCAACACTTTATAAGGCATAGTGGGTGAAATGAGGAGAGGGGTCCATATCTTGAGTATGGATGTGACCGAGTCCAGTCTCCGTTTTTCTGAATAATCTGCCCAAACATTCCTAGCTGGCTTGTTGAAAGGTTTGAAGGAGGTACCTAGGAGGCAGGTGGTCTCAGTTCAATGAAAGTTTACTTATCCTATCCAGGGTGGATGGGTTCTTTGCTGTAGCCGGGGGGTTCAAAAGGGCTCTGAGCTTAATGCTCTGCTCCGGATGCGTTAAACCTGCTAATCATTTCCAGACGTTTGCATTCACTCCCTATCCAGTCAGTTCCGGAGGGCAGGGTAGAACTCTTCCCCCCCTGTGGGTTTGAGAGTGTAACTCTGTACAGGTGTGGGTTCTGAAACTAATTCTACCTCTGCCAGAGCAGAAAGCCTCCTTTCTCTGGCACTTGGAGGTGGTTGACCAGGGCTCCAGGTCTAGGTTGCGAGGTTACCAGACTGAGCCTAAAAAACATTTCCTTTGCCCACCTCTCCAGGGCATCTTGTGCCTGAACCAGGCTGTGCCCAAGGAGCTCTTGGAATTCCTCCGACTGCGGCACTTCCCCACGGATCCCAAGGCCAACCACTGGGGGTGAGCACCTTCCATGGGCCTGGGCTTGGCCCCGGAGAGGGGACAGTTTGGCGGGGGGTGGGGGTGGGAACCACCCCACTTTTGCTTCTCTCACCTGCCAGGCCCTATCTGGATCTTCCTCCTGCTGAGGCCTGTCTCCCTCATCAGTTTTATTTTCCTTTGCTTTGTTTTAAAAATATTTTATTGTGTCTCAGGTGAAAGTTTACACAGAAAATTAGGTTCTCGTTTAACCATTTGGTACAATTCTGACATTATTCATGATTCTCACAATGTGCCGATATTCTCATTCCTTCCAATCTGTCTAAGTCTGCTCGCCTTCTCATCGTTCCTTTTGGGTAAATGTTGACCAATTGTTATCATGTGGTTGATTGTTTACAGGTGATATTGTTTCTTTGATAAGCCCATCTATTATTTGGCTGAAAGGTGACCTCAAGGGATGTCGGCAGTGCCAGACTCGAAGGGTATCTTTGGGCAGTAGCCTTTAGTCCCTGTCAGCCCAATAGGTCTGGCCTTTTTTAGGGATGTGAATCTGGTTCTACATTTTGCCCCATTCTCTCTGGCACCTTCTCTGGACCTAGTGAGTGATTGGGTGGCAGCAGCAAGGCCCCCTCTGGTTCTGGTCTCTGGCTCAAGCTGTGTGTCCTGTGCACTCATTTCTCCTGGAGTCTTTGATTTCCTTCGCTCTTTTTGCACCAGAAGAGTAAAGGCCGGTAGTTGTGTTTTACATGACCGCCCCCCAGCTGGGGAGAACTCTGATGTTCTCACATTAGGGACCGTGTTCTACCAACTGTCCAAAGCCTTTCAATCCCGTGAAGTGCCATTGTTCACTGTTTGGGGTTCTCAGAAGCCTTTGTACTTGTGCCCCCTTGTGCTTCTTGACACGGACTCACACTTTTGAAGCCCCCTCCTACATGCAGCACAAACATGTACATACCCAAACCTGATATAGTTATACATGCGTGTGCTCACATATGCCTTCCTACAACTGTGTGACGATGCACACATTTGTGGGGTTATTACTCTTGTAATTATCAGCTTTCTTGAGCCCTTAGTGATGGGGCTGAGGTTTTGTTTGGTTTTATTTGGACAGCCTTCGTTACACCAGCCACCTCGGGAACCGGGCTTGTTACAAATAGAAGCAGTGGTCCCCTGAGAGGAGAGGTTGTGGGCTGGTCTCCGCGCTCCTCACTCTCCCCTGGGCATCTCCAACGTGCTTAGGGGACTCTTGTCTCTTTCACAGGGCCCTGGGAGAGTTCCTGCCCAGCAACAGCAGGCAAGTCCACGCCCTGGCTTGCGCCTTGCTGCCTCCTGGTGGCTGGATGCTGGGAGGGGACCTGGCCTGTGCAGCCTCTGTGCTCTAGGTGCAAGGTTCCTGTCCCTCCGATCCAAATGGGTCCATATTGCCCACCTGCTTGGGGCTCAATTTCACCACCCCTCCTGGTACTTTCTCTCTCTCAGCCCACAGCTGCTCCACCGGCCTGTCATCAGCTTCTGCACAGACCCCTACGTGTGTGCCCCCTCTTCAGGTGAGGTGCCTGCCACCACCCACAATCCGTACTTAGGGCCTGGGTCAAGCAGACTTGCCATTTCTCAGCTCCAGGGCCTCCCTGGCCACAACACCCTCCTCCTGGCCCCGCCAGGCATACCAGCTGGTTTTGCTCTCTCCCCTAGGTAGCAGTGCCCTGGAAAGCCAAGGCCTCACAGGGGGTTGGCCCTGCTGCCCTGCTAGCGATCCTGCTTCGGGACAGCACAGCAGGCTGCAGGCCTGGGGCCAGGCCTGTCCTTACCCTTCTCTGTGACCTCCCTCCCTTCCTCCCTCCCGCAGAGCCTCTGCCCAGCGTGGTGGTGAGTGGCGTGCTCCAGGCCCTCTACAGCTGCAGCCTCAGCCCTGTCCATGCCCAGCCAGAGGCTGTCTGTCCCCCAGCTCCTTTGCCATCCATGCCCTGACAGGCCCAGAGGCCTTGGGGCCCAAGATAGTCCCACCTGTCAAGACAGATATATGCCTCAGTCCACTTGCTTGGTCTCGGACCAAGGTCTTACCCACCCAGGGCTCAGAACTCAGCCTTCACTGGAAGCTGGGGAGCAAAGGTCAGGTGCTCAAGAGCCCAGAGGACTTGAGTGAAGGGAAGCCGTGCAGAAGTAGGCTGTGACAGGGCAGAGAAGGGATGTCTTCACCGGAACCACAGTTTAGAGAGCAAACACACATCAAGTGGAGGCTGGGTGGCTGGCAGTTTAGAGGGACTCTCACCTGATTCAGTGTGCATCTCGCCTGGGTACAAGGTCAAGGTCAGGCAGGTACCAAAGGAAAGAGCTGCCACCACAGACCTTGGACGTGTGGGTGTGGACTTGGGGGAGATGCTGCAGCGCTGGGAACCCAGTCCACATGCAAGTTATTAAAAAAAAAACCACCTTTATTTTTATTGGTCAGTGTTGGTAGGAGTTTGTTACAAAATGGGGCCTGTGGGATGTGGGGTGTGGTCCACTGTCAGCACCAGGGCAGCACAGTGGTGCCCAGGGGCAGCCATCTTCAGCCCCGAGGGCAGTAGTGCCGCAGAAGGTCCCTGGACCGCTTCACTCCTTGGCGATGGCAAAGGGCTTCTCTACTTCGATCTTGCCACAGTCTGCAATTGTCACATCCTTCAGGGGCTTGTCCCGACCATCTGTCTTGGTGCTCTCCACTTTGCGGACCACATCCTGGGAGGGAGCGGGTGACAGAGGGAGAGTCAGGTGGCCCACTGTATGGCCCAGGGGACTGAGACCCACATGGTCAACAGCACAAACCTGCAGGCACCACAATTCTGGGAAGCTCAGGATCCAGCCCAAGGAAGCTGCAGCTTGGTTTCTTTTGAGCGTAACCCAGTTGGGGGTGGGGGGTGGGGGGAGGTGAAGACAGCCTCCTGGCTGGGCTTGGCCTATGGCTCAGGAGGGTTTGGAATTTGCATCTACAAAATGCAGGCTGTTCTTTCCTGAGACCTCCCAGGTGAATAGCTAGAAGCCCTAGAAAGGGGGTGGAAATAAACACATGGGGCCCCTGCCCCTGGGTCTGTGTGGGAGCTCTGGGGAGGGCTGGTGGGGTTCAGCCCCAGCCTTCAGGACTCACCATGCCCTCCAGCACTTTGCCAAACACCACGTGCTTGCCGTCTAGCCAAGATGTCTTGACTGTGGTGATGAAGAACTGGGAGCCGTTCGTGTCCTTGCCCGCGTTGGCCATGCTCACCCAGCCAGGCCCGTAGTGCTTCAGTTTGAAGTTCTCATCTGGGAAGCGCTCACCATAGATGCTCTTTCCTGGGAAGGGAGACGCAGCCATGGGGTGGGGGACGGTAGGGTAGGGTGAGGAGAAGCTAGAATGGCCCAAACCAGGCTGATTTTTAGGATGAGGGTTCAAGAGGCTCAACCGATCTTCTGAACCAGGTCAGGAGCATAAACACATGTCCCCTTCTTGGCCTAAGAGCCACACTGTACTACTTGGAAGCCAAGCTGATTCCACCAAAGGCTCACGTGATGGGTGATTTAGAGTACTGTGTCATGGCTTTAAATAAGGGGCTTGTCATCAGCTGCCCTCGACTAGCTTGAGGGCACTGCCTGCCCTGGAGGTCTTTGGGGAAGACCTACTGTGCAGGATGCAGGTGTCCGGACAGGTGGGAGAGGCTAAGAACACTCCAGAAGAGGAAAACTACTATGGATGGCCAGCCCGTCTTCCTGAGAGCTCGCACAGGGAAGACAGTGAGGTACCTGGCAAGGCCACAGAGGAGGGCTGCCATTTAGGTTCGGGGAGTTGAAAGCCTCCACCAGTGACAGAAACAAACAGTGGTGGTGAGTGTGTCCCTCTGGGCACAGGAACCAGAGTGGCTCTTTACAAACATTCCAGAAGGTACCCGGCAAACCTTTTTTCCCTGTGACTTCCCTTCAGTGACTAACCAGGTGGTAGTGTATCAGAGGCCTCCAGGACCTGCCGCAAAGGTGGCCTTTCTGTTTTGCTTTTACCTTTTGAACTTACTTGCACACGAATTTGTTTTTATGAAAACCAAGCTGATTTTAACTCACAGAGATTTAGAGTTCCAGGTAACACTGGATTTAGAGTTCCAGGGTTTCTAAGGTCACGCTTTCACGGAGCAGCTGGTGGATTTGAACCACTGACCTTTTGGTTATTGATCAAGTATTTAAGTGCTGTATCACCAGGACTCATGCTATCAAAGCAAATTAAAAACAAACAAACCAACAAACCCCAAATTCACTGCTATTGAGTTGATTCTTACTCTTAGCAACCCTGTAAAACAGTGTGGAGGGGAAATGGAAATGCCCCTTTGGGTTTCCAAGGTTGTGAATCTACGGGAGCAGCCAACCTCATGGTTTTCTCACGGAATGGCTGGTGGAGTCCAACCGCTGGGCTTTGTGGTGAGCTCAATACAAACCCCGTTTAAAAAAACAACCCACGTAGGGCACCTTCCACCCCAGTCAGTACACCAACTTTCCACAGAATGGGACCAAGGCGGCAAGCTCTTGCCTGCTGCCTATCAAGGGCTGGCTGAAGAGCAAACAGAAGAGAACAGAGAATTAGTAACCGGAGGAGGCGCGCAGACACAGTCCACAGGGCTTCAGTGAGGAGCTCCGGCCAGGCCGGTCAGCTTCAGGGCACTGGGCCAGACCAGAGTGGGGATGGTGAGGGGGATCTCAGCCCGAGTCCCATCCTTTTCCCTCAACCAGAGGGTCAAGTCACCATTACGAAGTGACCCCTGGCTAGGATGCTAGCTAAAAGCCTCCCCTCTTGAAAACCCTTTTGGTAAATCTCTGCTAAGTGCCAGATTTCAATTGCCGTTACTCTCCAGAAAACCCCCAAGATCTAGGGGCAAACACTTTGCTAAGATACAGTGAGTTCCACACTCAAAGGGATAGTTCTTCACTTCAAACTCAACTTCACCCCTGACCTTCCCTGCAGACTTCAGTTCTTCTCAAGCTCTGTCACCAGCACACTGCCAGCGTTGTCCCTGGGGATCCACCCTTGCCTCTCTACACCTGCTCCCCACACTGCTGTGATGCTGGCCCACCAAAGCACTTCACACATTCAAAACAAACAGGAGGCAGAAGCAAAGGTGGTCTGGCTCTCGAATCTGCTCTTACCCCACTAGGACATACTCTCCCCGCTTGGGGTGAAGGCCCACAGCACCCTGCCCAGGGGCAGCTGCCGCAGCCCCCAGCCAATCTGTTCCAGCCTCCCTATCCAGGCTTCTGCCTCCACAAGATTTTGTCCAGCTTGGGGCACGGTCCCACTCTGCAAGTGTCCACCAGGTCTGCCTGGAGCCTATCTCTGTATTCCCCAGGCCAGCTTCAGGCAAACTGCTAAGCCAAGACTGGAGCTGCCTCATGAACCTTCATCCTGCCCCCTCAAATCCTCCCAACTCTCCTCACATTCTGAATGCCACTTTCTGATCATCTTGGCCGGAAGTGCCGCCTCTGCCTGTCAGTACACAGACAATGGCCAACTTTACTGAGGACTCCCCACGTCCCAGGCTTATACTCAAGCTTTCCCAGGAGCCCCCAGTCCCCACTCTCAGCACGCTCACCTTCACGAGAAGGAAATGGAAGCTCACAGCTGCACCCACTTAGCAAAAAGAGTGACAAACCCTCAAGATTCGTACACAGTTCGATGGCCTAATGAACCATGCAGAGCTCAGCCACCGGCACCCGAGCCCAAGAACTAGATGATGGCAGCACCGCTACACCAAGGGCTTTCCAAAGGAGCCAGTGGAATCCTGGGTAGAATGGAGAAGAACGTGGAACTAAACTCAAGGTCATAAGAAAGATCAAGTTTAGTGGTCAGACTGAAGGAACTCCTGAGATTCTGGCCCGTTGTCACCCTTGGACTTTGGAATGAACTCACTCCCTGGCTCAATAGTCATCCAAACAATAGACAGGCCGAACTGTAAGGTGACCAGGAGGGCTCGAGGTACACACTCCTCCTAAGAATCAAGCTTGTGAGGGAAAAAAGGCTGTGTGGACGTTAGGAAAGGTTAGAAGAGGAGGCATGGACGCAGGAAAGACGGGGCAGAAGTGGGATGAGTGATGTTTTACTGTGGAGATGGCAGTCCCCGACACGAAACAAAATGTATGACGTGGTGCTTCCATTCCTTCACAATTATTGCACTGGGCATGGATTTGCTCAGTAAACAATAAAAAGTCAACAAAAAAAACCCACGAAGCAAGGTGGCAGAGCCTGGATCACACCCAGGAGTGTCCGAGGACGGCAGAGTACAGGCTCCAGGTCCGTCCTGCCATCTCCCACGGGTCCCTCGCTAGACCCCAAATCCTGTACGGTGGGGGAGCTGTTTCCCCTCATCCTACCCCCTCAACAATAAACCACTTGAGGGCAGAATCTGTGTCCCAAGGCCGAAATGGGAAGGTAAAGGTAGTGCTTGGCAGTGAAAGGCAGCAGCTGCCTGCCCTGATCTCTGGGTCCCAAGCATCCACCACAAGCCTTTCACTGATGGAGTGCGCAGCTCCCCACCTGCAACTGTGGTCTTGAGACAGCAGGCTGCGTACCCAAATACAGCGACAACTATAGGTTTGTCCTATGTGTACAGAGCACCATCTGGTGGAAGAGTGCCAGGGCGCCATCCACCACAGGAGTAGGGGCTTGCTGAGTGGTCAGCACAGGCTATGTGTGTCTGACTGAGAATCCCCGACAGTGTCTTCCCTTTGTTCCCTTCTCCCAGGAATATCCAGAGAAAAGGCACCTTCTATAGCCCTAGATCAGGAGGTCTGCCACTTGGGAAAGACCCTCTTAGGTTTATCTGACCCCACTACTCCCTCCCTCTCCTTTGTACTGGATTCCCTGGACACAGCTGACTCCAGTGCAGGGAGGCCTGTAAGGCCTGGGCTACCCAGCCCAGGCCGCCAACCCTCCCACCCAGATGGACAATTCCGCCCAGAGGAATGGGAGGAACTCACCTCCGGTGCCGTCTCCCCGGGTGAAGTCTCCACCCTGGATCATGAAGTCCTTGATCACACGGTGGAATTTGCTGTCCTTGTAGCCAAACCCTTTCTAGAAAAAATGGGCAGGTAAAGAATTGGCACAAGACACTCACTAGACCAGTGGTTCTCAACCATCCTAATGCCTCGACCCTTTCATACAGTTCCTCGTGGTGGTGACCCCCCAACCATAAAATTATTTTCGTTGCTACTTCATAATTGTCATTTTGCTAACGTTATGAATCGGGCGACCCCTGTGAAAGGTCGTTTGACCCCCCCCAAAGGGGTTGTAACCCCCGGGGTTGAGAACTGCTGCACAAGACAAACATTAAACAGACATGAACCCAGCCCACACAATTGCTGCGCCCAGCAGAGACACCAGGCTGGCCCGGGTGACACTAACATGCTGATGGTGTGAGGCACACAGGCCAGGCACAGCCAAGACCCACAGCCCTAGAGCAGCTCCAATGTCATGCAGTTGGATGTCACAGCACAGCCCTTCTGCCTCCCAGTTCTCATCTTCAGGAGAGCCGATGCAAGAACAGAGACTGAGACGGTCCCCCGCTGGCCCAGTGTAAAGGGTAGGTGGAACACACACTTCCTAAAGTGGGGCACCTGGCCACCTGGCAATCTCTGGGCTCTGCATTGTAGCCGAACACTCTGGTCCAACAGGCCACAGACTAATGTCTACAAATTTGGTTAGTGCAGTGTCTTAAAGATGCAAAATGTCCTGGAAAAAAACGATGACCCCCAAATCTATAGATTTTTGGATTTAGGAAAGGGCCACTTCCTTCAGAAAAAAACGCCACAGTATTGGGTTTGGGGCCAACTGTGAGTCGGTGCTGAGCGGAGGGGGCGACAGCCTGGATGGGCTGTTCTATGCCGCCCAGTCTGCTGCAGACCGTTTGCTGACTTTACTTTGAGGTGACTAGCTCCAGTTTAGTCACTTACCTCTCCTGTGGCTAAGGCCACAAAATTATCCACTGTTTTTGGAACTGTCTTGCCGAAGAGACCGATGACCACCCGGCCTGCATCTTCATCTCCAACTCGTAGGTCAAAATACACCTGAGGGAAACGATCATCCCAAACTTAGGCCCTCTGAACTCGCTTGACAGAAGCGCCACGGGGATGCGTGAGAACACAGCCACCCATCTTTTTACTCTGCTTTATACCCGTGCTTCTGTTTCTGGTGGAATGAAAAATATAATGAAAGATCCAGGTGTACCATGTGCCCTCCACTCCCGTAATAGGTGTGTTTGCATTCCCTTGACAATCTTTGCTTTAAAGAAACGATGGGTGTAGATTCTAGAAATCAACATTTCAAAAAACCTAGGGAGGCCGGGCCTAAGCGCTTGCAAGTGACTGACTGCAGCGTGGCCGAGGGAGAGAGGATGGATCCTGAGGCTGGCAGACATGCTGTTTCACCATTTCCCCGCAAAGACTGTCCCAACGCAGGTAGTGAGGGCCCGGCTGCGCACCCCGAGTCTGGGCAGGGGTAGGGGGGGGTAGGGGTGTCCCACTCGGCCTTGTTCGCCAAAGGACGGCCCAGACGCCACGCGGGTGCAGCTGGGAATCTCGGGAGGGGCCGAGCCAAGTCCAAGTCCAGCCAGGCCTGGTTCGGGTCCTAAATGCCTTGGACACCACGGACCGCACCCTAGCTGGTGGAAGGCGGGTCCCCCAGGGCCTCGTCAGGGAAGAGGAGAGCGGGGAGCCCAGACCTTAACGGTGACTTTGGGCCCCTTCTTCTTCTCATCGGCCACGGAAGACCCCGGCAGCAGCAAGAGGACGGCGGAGCCCACGATGAGGGCGGCGGCCACGAGCACCTTCATGTTCCGCTCCGAGAGACGCAGCATCCACCAAGACAGGGGAGCACGGCCCCGGGAGCCACCGGCCGGAAGAGGGAGGGCACCCGGCGGCTTGGGTCCCGGCGCTGCCACCGAACGTGAACAGGGGAGGGCCGGGGCTCCCAGCGGCCGCCCAGCAGACGACGGGCTCCATGACTCCCCTCCGGGCCGGCCCGGATGGTAGGTCCGGGCGGGGCGGGGCCATGAGCTGCGGGCTCGTGGGTGGCTGCCACGTTATTGCTACCTGATTGGACTCGCCCTTCCTACACGCCCACCAATAGGAAGCGGACCAGGCACGGCCCTGCCCCGTCACTGCACGGGGATTGGCTCGCGCAAGACTACAAGCCCCAGCGTGCGGAGCCGCTCCTCTGGCTCCCGAGGGGGCGCCTTTTGGGACGCGGCGGCGGATGCTTCCGGGAGGAAATCCCAGCGTCCTGAATTTGGGGAGTAGACGCTGTCATTGTATTGGGCCGAGGGACCGCCAAATTGGGCTATAGCAGTTGCTTCCAAAAGCCAAGCGCACTTTTCCACTTACTCAGTTTGACTTTATGTAGCTCCTTTCAACTTGTTTTTCAAGCTTGTTTGGAAACCCATTTCTTTACCATTATTTTTCTCTCCCCTCTCCAATCTTACTGTGCTCACTACAGTATGAATCAAAGCATTTTATTACCTACCCTGATTCTTTTTTGTTTGTTTTTTTGCCTACGCTGATTCCTAACTTTATTTATCCAAGCAAACTACATTTTTTTGTGAACCAGAGACTCTGGTGCGTGTATGTTGTACACAATTTAGGGACTTTCTAGAAACCTTAGGGAAGACCAGTTGTCAGATAACCCATCATTATTTCATTAACACACGGTGATATTTTAGTCTACAACATATACTTTGGAAGAATATAAATCACTCTAAAATTTAGGAGTATTATTATCATTGGGCATCTTTAAAATAAGTTTAAAAAATGTGTTTTCAAAGATTACAGATACTACAAGTCTGTACAGTCCAGACTATAGCAGGCATGCCTCCATTTTAGCAGATGTCCTTTGGGATCAGTTTCCCTATGTGTGGTGCTGACGTGAGTGGGAGGCCACCAGCTGCACTAGCTAACTTGTCTTCCCCACACCAAGGTTCCTGCAGTCAGGAGTGGAGTGACCACTGGTCAAGTCTCTCTTAACAATATGGCATTTGCTGTATCTTGCACATCCTATCAAGTCTAGGTAAACTGTTGTTGGCAACAATTATCTCCCAGCACTCCCCATACCTTGTACTCTCCCCCCCCTTTTCTCCTGTCCAGTCTCCTTTCCCATGCACTGGCCTCACACTGCCCATAGCCACTGAGGCAAAAATGTTTACACCAAAGTTTCCAAGCACAGGGGCTAATGTTAAAATGGCTGAAAAACAGCCTGCCCCTCCCACCCTCTCCCCACATCTGGAGGACTACCGGTAATCAGGTTGATGGATAAAATGCTGTCAGTGTGAAAGTGTTTGTTTTTCTTCCATGATCACCAGCTCTTATTTGCCTTTGAAAAAACTGAGCGTACTGAACTGGGATCAGCGCCTATACTGGCAGCTTTGTGGTTATATATGCACTTGTGATTTTTTATGATACATCAGAGTGACATGTTATATATGTAGACATCCTCCTCGTTAGACAGTCATTCAAAAAACTATTATTTCAACGTGTTCCAGAGCAGATCCCAACTTCCTGTGTTCATTTACCTGAGAACTAAAAGGACACACGGTCTAACATGTGTTAATACTCAGAATCTTCAGGAATAATGTGACCTACGGAAGAGGGCAATGTTCAATTCAAGGGGATGATGCACAAATGCCACGGATTATTCTGTTCACAGGAGCCTCTATCACATCGAAGTTGGTCCCGGCTAGATCACACACCAGCCAGAAATACTCACAGTCAACAGACCAAGCAAGCAAGCAGAACTAGCCAAGAAAGGTAAGACATTTTATTTTACATACAAAAAGGGTGCAAACTGAGTCCTTTCCACCCCAAATTGGGGAAGAGGTATACTTAAAGATCACATTTGTGTCTTTTCATGGTGCCTTAGGAAATGGGCTATTCTGAGATCACCTATCAGGACCCACTTCCATTTTCTCCAAAGAAGGCTACTTCCTTTGCAGAAGGCTCTTTCCTAATGATACACAAACCCCTCTCACAGAGGAACCATATCCAATACACTTGTAATTGACATTCATGTTCAAAAATACTACAAGTTTCATTTTCACAGCTGAACTTTGCGACCAGTGCCAGGGCTTATGAAAACATGACAGATCTAAAACAAAAGGTTAAAACAAAACAAAAAAATCACTTAACAATAATCAGACACACCCACGCATCAATTAAAATTGATTTCCACAGCTGATTAAAACATAACTAGGTTTTTGTTTTTAAATTGCAATCAACATCCCAACATCTCTTTAAAAGTACAACAGGCAAAAAAACAGACAAAATAATATTATAATAAATTAGAGCATGTAATACATCCAATGGGGGTAGCTGAATCAACATTATTTTCCACTGGGGGTTACTTTTTTGGTTTCATCTCATCTTTTTGGCTGTCACTCGTCCTGATATAAGTGAGCTTGTTCCCGCAGCCAGCATGCTGCCACCTACACTCACTTGAAAGATGTGCTTGTCACATGTTACTTCCGAGAATACTCAGGAACATCTGGCTCCCCACAGCCAAAGCTGTCAGTCTTTATGGGCATGAAATGCACACAGGTGAGTGTGCACACCCACACACAGACATCCACCCATCTGTAAATCTATTCCCCCAAAGAAATGGCTCATCTTTCCTGAAACATTCCTAACAGATTGATAAACCTTCTAAATAAAAATAAAAAAAGGCTCTTGTGCAAGGGCTGGCCTGGGGTTTGGTCTGGAGCTCGTGAAGAAGAGGAACACTGAACATGTCAAGGTCGGGGCAGTCAGGTGTGGAGGACTGCAGTGTCGTGGACACCCTCTGCTCTAAGACGGAGAGGTGACGGGGATGGCACCAGCAAAGCGACTGCTGAGGAGTGAAAGGAGAACAACCCGAGACTCTGTCCGCAGAAGTGGTTTCTTTTCAACATCAAGTTTGAGAACTCAAGCTAGAAAGACATGGAGTACATGTTCACTTTTCCATTTGTAAGCTGATCTACAAATACTGGAGGGGTTTCCTGGTTGCTTTGAGAGGAAATATTAAGTGAACTGCTACTGTCCTAAATCCAGGGAACCTACTCACTACTCTGAATACAATGGAGAGAACTATTCTTTTGCACTCAATCACCAGCAAAGGGAGTTCAGAAAAACGGAAAACAATTGAACAGACTTCCAAGATTCCTTATTTGTAGCGACAACACTGCTCAAAATTCAAAAGGGCCTCGGCTTCCTCAAAAACAACTCTTCCCTCCTCCCTGAGTCCCACATATATAAAATCAAAACAATCTCAGTTGATCTCTATCAACCCCCTGGGAAGACTGGGCACCACTGGCTATCAGGCCCTGGCAGAGTCTGCAAGAACAAGAATCCCAGAGATAACTGCCTGCTGCTCACAAAACCAATCCCAGTGGGATGCCAGCTTAGCCGGGCCCCCAAGGCATTCCTGGACGACCTGTTCACCTAGGAGCAATGGTGGGAATGGTGGCAGTGGCCTGGCAAAGACGATGTTTGTTGGCTGTGTGACATGCCAGGTCCCTGTCCCTTGAAAGTTGAAACTCTAGTAGTAACTTGGTTCTGACAGTGGAGAGAGAGTTGTCAGGACACCTGACTGAGAATAAAATACTAGTTTAAATATGATCACAGATGAGGTGACTGGGACACAGGAGGGGTTGGGCTTGCGTGAAAAGATCAAGTGAAAAACGTAGGCCATGCTTGCTCACTGGAAGAGGAAATATTTTATCTTTTATATTAAAAAAAAATAAGGCTATGATCTTTAGTAACCACTCTGACATCACATGACCAACATTGCCTATTTCTGGCATTCAAAATGGCTACTAATGCTGACAATCAATGTGCGACTGGGGTACAATTCCATTGAATTAAGTTACTTTAGAGGGAATGAACTGGTGGTGAGCTATGATTTCATGAGAACAAACATGCTAGCCACCACTCCCACTGGATCTCAGGCTCCCAGGGTCTACTGGAGCCTCTGCATTCCCAAGAAAAATGGACCTGTAAGGGGGAGCCAAGGTGTCGTCTCCCCAGACACTGCCAAGGAACAGGAGGAGGCGGAAGGCAGCCAGGAATGCACATTGATGGCTGGGGAGCTGGACTACCTTTGTGGACCGTTCTAGTGTGGGATCTCTGGGAGTGCCCAGGGGCACACTAGCTAATCAACCCCTTACTTGGTCAGACTTCAGACAGAAGTCACACTCTGGTCTTAAGTGAGGGACTCTTCACATTAGGTGGCAGCACGGTTTGCCTTTCTCAGTTTGCCCAGAACTTCTCGTGTTCTAGAATTGAGGGTTTCTACGTTAACAGATGCCGACTTAGCTCCATGGACAAACAACTGCATCAACCCCAAAGAAAAGAGCCTTAGGTATCCTGATGGCTGTGAAGGGGAGAAAGGTCAAAAAATACAAAGCAAGTGGACTTTCAGAAGGGTGTGCTCTAGCCCATGGAGCAAGGCAGGCTGCTGAGTATGAGGGGGTGTGGAAAGCTGGTGATCTGGTGGAGATGGAGCAGATGGCCAAATCCCTTCTGGGGTATTCAGGTGCTGTGAGTGTTTTTTTAAGGAAGATCATAACAGAATCTCCCAGGCCTCTGGGAACGTCTTGGCATTCCAGGGCCCCTGAAAAGGATCATTATTCCCTGCAAGCTCCAGAGAACTGGGGCTCTTCACCTTTGCTATGAAAACAAAGTATCTTTTAAGAGGTTGTGGGGAGTGGGAGTCCAGGGTGATTGAAGGACCCTCCTCTACTGCTCAAATTCAACTCCTCAAAAGCTAGCCTTTAAACCATTTAAATACAAAAACCTCACAAGCCTATGAAGGGGGCTTGCCTAACAGCCAAGCTGGCCATAGCCTATGTTTTTTGAGAGGAGGTACTTGGTAGGGTATGGAGTGCCAGGGTGTGCCAGGCTTTGACACTGATTCCCCCTGCCTTTCTTGAGAGGCAAGGCTTTTTTCCTATAGAGGGACAGGAGGTTAACGTTTCTACACAGGCAGTTATGGAGTTGTCCAAATGCCAACTGAGAAACGATGTAAGTCTCAGTGATGGGGCCTTACCACTTAAAAATGGCAATGAAGCAAAGCCCAGGATTCAAAGTCCTTGTGGGGCAGGGTATGACAATGACGATCCCTGCCCTCCTGTATTTTGTATATAGGAAATTTCTCTTAAAGAAGAGAATTACAATCACCACATAAGCTACCCAAGTGACATTCTCAAGACAAGTACTAAATAGAGCAGGTGAAACTCAGTAACCCTGGTCCATCTAATGTGGCTCTTTCTGTGCCATCTACGGTCCATCAAGGCATCTCTCATGAGATTTCAACTACCAGAAAGTACCTCCTCACCCCTCTAGTCCAACAGACAGTCCTACATATCGAGAAGTGACAATTTCGGTGTTCCCCAACCCACCAGCCACGGCCTCCACGGTCCATGTTCTCTAGCTCTCCGGAATGGGGAAACAAAAGGGCAAAAGAGGAGTGCCAGCTTGTCCTTCTTTCTGCCAGACACAATGCCTCTGTCCCTGATGCAAAGAACCCCGTGTCCTCTGTCACATCGGAAACGAGCAGTCCCTCTTTGAATAAGCCACGGTACTCAAGTGAAAACCACGCGTGAGAAGAGCAACTGTACTTGTTTTTTCAAGCAGAGACTGAAGAACGGAGACCCTTCCTGGTAGCACGTCAGGTGAAGACACAGTGCCGTGCCGGGCGGCAGAGAGTAGACAGGAGAACATGTCCTCTGCGCATGACCCTCTTCTTTGCAAGGAGACCCTGTCCAACTGAGACAATTTCAGACATTCCATTTTAGTTTCCTTTTCCCTGGAATTTTCCAGCACCAACAAATCTTCCCCTCCTGATTACTGCAGCTGCACATACTCCATATCCTAATCCCACTGCTGTAGCCCCGATGAGAGAAGACCTTCGTGGGTTTGGCCTCTGATAAGGCAGACCAGCCCAAGGGTTAGAGCTACTGGGGTCGATGGTACATACGGACTTTCTGCTCCTGGCTCTATGAAGCTGCACCCTGAGGTTCCTCTGGCAGTTGGAAGATAGGTTCACCTTTGTCTTCTTTGTCCACTAGTGGCAAAATGGTGGTCGCTCTTGCCTCACTTTGTTCCCCAAGTCACCAGGAAATCACATGGCTGTCTAATTGGAAGTCCCTGGCAGTGGAGGACACACGGATTTCTGATGCTGTTGTTAAACATCTACTTCTCTGGCATGAGCTGTCTCCCGGTCCCTGTCTGGTTGGCGTGGCTTATCCCAAGTGCTTGAGAGCCAAGTTTCCTACACTGCAGGCTGAGCAGGTCAAGATGCTCTGGTAGGGACATTCTTCGGCAACTGAGAAGATGAATGAAAATTCAAGTATATGTTTCCTTGCCAGCCTGAGCGCAGTGGCTTAGAATGGCATAGGTTTGGCTTCTTTTCTTCTGGGAGCCGCATTTCCATTGGGAATATGTCCTCTGGACCCCTCTCTTTCTGAATGGCTTAGGTGGCCCCATTCCCTTCAAGACAGAAAAAGTAAAACCCCGATATAACCAGACACAATATGCATCTGTCATGTTTTCTGCTTGAAAAAAAAACATAACTAAACTAAAAGTGCAACAAAGTCAGGGTTTTTTTTTCCTTTCTTTCCCCTCCCTCCCCTTTTCCTTTGCTGGGGCCTATTTGCACTGTCTTTTTACCATCTGGAGAACATTCCCCTTGTCAAGAGAGCTAAGAACACCAATCCACGAGGACAGTAGCCGGCAGAGTCGTCACAGCTTGTGTCCTACGGTATAACTTCTCAGGAGGGAGGGCACGAGGGCCTGTACCCCGTAACCAGCTAGCGATGAGGTTGCACAGGCACAAGAGGAAGAGGAAGCCATCCTGCCTGCTCCACCTGGTAGGTGGGAAAAGTTCCTTGTCAGCCCAGGTCTGCAATTTTCCTGCTGCCTTCTTGGCTGCAGCTCCAGCCTCCAGAGCTCCTGCAGCAGACAAAACTTTGCTCACTAGCCTTTATGCTGGAGAGGGTTAGGGGTGAGCAAGAACCAGGAGCAAACTACGGGGAGGGAAGAGGCCAGTAGTCCTTGAGTTTTTGTGAATGACACCTTCACTGTAAACAATGGGCAGGAGAGTCAACCAAGCAGCCCTGCGGGCAAGCAATGGAGGAGCAGCAGCCCTGGGACCTGCTCAGAGCTGCAAGCAGGCGGTGCAGCCGCTGGCCCACTGGGCCCTGGCTGCCCACACTGGCTCCTGGGGTATCTGTTTTCTTCTTTTTGGTTTGAATCTCCACCCTCCTCCACAGAGGAGTCCCTGCCAATGAGAAATGGCAGGAGCTGCAGGTACAATCGAGTCAGAATCCCCAGGGCCTGAGGACTCCTGGGAGGCACTGGTCACTTGTGGCGCTGGGCAGTCTTCTTCCTTTTCCTCTTAAAGAAACAGCAGCACCTGGAGCACAAGGAGTGTCACAAGTCAGTGTGGGAGACCTGCAGTTTCCAGCAGATCTTGACCTGGCTCAACTTCCTGTCCCCACCCAGAGGGCTCCCCACCATCTACAATGAGCACACTGGAGGCAGTGGGCAGTATCTGCCAGGAGAGCCAAACCAAGTAACTGCTTCATCTCCATTGGAAGCTACCCAGTGAAATTAAAAAAACACAGCAGGCTAGACAAGGCCAAACTTGGCACTTCTCAAAGGAGGAAGAAGAATTATTTCCTATTCTAACACCCAGCCCAGATAACTCATCTTTGTCTAGAACCAAGACTAGGGGTTTTCAGGGCTGCAAGAACAATAGCCTGCATTATTTGGCCCTTGATACAAAGGGCAAAGCTATGTGATACAACTCCATGACCAGTGCAGGGTTAAGAAGGCTAAACTCAGGCAAACTTATTTCATGCTGTTTGGAACTCTGGGAAGGTCTCCCAATCCCACCAATAAAGGATTAAGGATTTCTTCCCCTGCCTATACCACTACCTGCAGCAGACCAGGGAAGCCCTGACTCCAGTAGGAACCTCTAGGCCAGACAACGTGACAGAGGTCAGCCCGTGGGAGGGTGCCAACCCACAGCCCAGGCGCTAATCTTTGGGGAACTCTTTAATGCAGGCTACCATCCCCTAAGCGCGTTTCCTCAAAGTGCTGCTGTCATGCTAGACTGGGTTTAAAAAATGATCCGGTTTAGGGCAGGAGGTAGGGCCTGCTCCCTTCCTAAGTCTGTGGTCTCGGTCCCAGCCCTTGCTTACTCCTGTCCTTGGTATAGAACGCATAGCTACTGTGAGGGCAGTGATGAGTCCAGAAGGGGAGATGGGGGCTATGGTATGGATGGTGCAAAGATGTGTCCTTTCCAGGAAGCGGACACGTGGGAAATGACAGAGATGGGGGGGGGGCAGGAGGAGGCAGATGAGTCACAGATGGCAATAAAGGTGGGAAATAAAGTTGGAAGTATAGCTCAGAGTTGCTAGGCCCGCGAAAGAAAAGTTAGTGAGGAAACTACTTTTGAAAGTCTGAGGCTCATCAGAACCATATTTAATGATGGAAATATCCATATGGAAATAGAGAACTGGTACTTACTTCCCATACTCCCAAGTTCTCCACTGTAGCTAAAATTCCCTTTAAGTCAGACCTTGGTATTCTTACACCCAATGGACTGGCTATTAAAAATTCAGAAATAGTTTATACAGATAATGATTGGCTCTAATCCTATTTAAATGACTCAAAACATGACCATTTAATAAGCAGTAGCTTAAGAGGGCTTTACCAAAGATTTTCTCGGAATGTATCAATGCAATTTGTTATGCACCATTAATGGGTGTGAATGTAGTCACTAAACAAATTGTCATGTGTATTTTGAGATGGAAAAAAATGATCTCATATAATGATCAATGCTTTTACTTATTTAAAATTAAAAAATTAAAGAAATCCCTGGAAAAGTCTTTTTGGAGACATCTGCTTTAGAAAATGGACATTTCCAAGTTGAAAGTCCTGAAATTAATATTAAACAAGGTAAGTTAAATCTCAAGGAAGCACAAATATTTTCATAGACTTACCTGTTCCCTGTTAACCATGCTTTTCAGCATGGAATCACTAACATTTAATTCATTTTCTACTCATTTCTACCCACCAAAATACTGTTTAGATCTTCTCAAACTCTTCTACCTCTCTCAAGGCAAGCCGTACAACTAACCCTGGCTCACAGACAGATGGAAACCAGGTGGGCGACGCTGAGTCACCTGCCTGCAGAAGAGGGCCAGCTGTGGTTCGGAAAAGCGGGAAGAGTTGCCGTTTCTAGTTTCTGAAGTTAAGGCTTCAGCAATAGAGATGCATTTAACAATTCTACCTCCAAGGAAGCAGGGCCCACCATGTTCTCTTCAACTCTTGTTTCTGTGGGGATTACCAGCAACAGGATCTACTAAAGTGGGTCAGATCCTAGCCCGAGTCCAATAGCTAACTCTGTAGAGATGGCCTACTCTTGGTAGAGAATGAAGACAGGTGATGATCCCGTCTTGTGTCATAAACTCCCTTCCAGTTGATTCTTTGACTGTTTAGATGACCCACGTTCTTAACATGCTAGAGGCAAACAGAGCATGTCCAGTCTCCCTGCTCACAAGCCAGCACGTGTTCTTCCTTTGCCCTTTCCAGACTGCTCTCCCTACATCCAGATGCCTGTCCTTCAGCTGTTTCCTTGCCAAGATCCCTTTCTTTGCTCAAACTCCTGACTCAAGCCCCACAGTACCCATGAATTCTTCCTTGCTCTGTTCACAATGACTTATCATGCTTAGACTCTCAAAGAACAAAAACATAAGCATCTTGGAGAAATATTTATCCTTCTGTGTATGAATATTTTATCTTCTCCAGCTAAGCACTTTGGAACAGGGTCTAGGCCTTGGGACTCCTTAGGGTTCTAAGCACAGGGTTGGATGAAAACAGAGTGGGCCCTTAGGTTCTAGCAGACTAACTCAAGACCCTATGACTGATGCCTAACAAGGGGGGGGGGGAGGATACAAAAAAAAAAACAAAACATGACATTAGACTACAAAGACAAATGTTTGCTCAATGAACAGACCAAATACACTCTTCAATAGCCGATGATTACAAAGCCTTCTCTCCATAAAATCCATTTGTTATCTTTACTACATCCCTATCCTGGGGAAATCCCATTAGGAAATCTGACTTAGGTCTGGCTGAGAAAGCAGTACCTACCCTAACACTGAAATGAAGTCGGGATGAAGGTGGTCACAGTGTCTAACCAGCTGTCCCCACAAGCAGAGCAGGACAGCATGGATTACAATCCAGACGCCAACAGAGCGGCAAGCTCTAGCACAGCGGGAGGGTTACAGAGAGTGCGTGTCCGGCAGACAGGTGGGGAGGGCCCCTGTCTGGTAGCAGGAATGAGCCTTTCCCTGCCATATGCCTCCTGTTGTCCCCATGAAGGTTCTCGAGGACTCTTTTCCAAAAGTGGAAAAGACAGGGTCCAATATTACATTAGCTGAGTTGGCTCTTGGCCTACTATCACTCTTATGAGGAATTGAAAGACTAAGAAGAAGAAAGACAAACAATAGCAAATATCCCCCAAAGCCCCGCAGCAACAGTAGCAACAGCAAAATGTCCGTCTCCCCCCAAAAAAGGAGCTCTCTTTTTTTGGGGGAGGGGAAAGCCATACTCTACAGATGAATGAAGGAACCAGTTGAATCAGAAAGAAAAGTCAGATTGCCCCCCCCACACCCACCCAAAGAAGCCAATTTCCAGGTTCAAGACCAAGCCACAAAATTAGAGCTAATTTGGCAATGACACTGTTTGGGTTGTGAGCAGTCACCTGATCCTGTAACCTTGTTATCCTACTCCTAGCCCTTCCTTTCTGATACTATCCGGTCACATTAATTTGGTAGGAATTAACTTAGTTAGAAGGCAGAATACCTGGGAGTGGGACACTGTTTTGGCAGGAGAGGGCCGGGATGAGGCGGGGTGGAAAGGAGTGGGGGAATGGGTTAATCCCTGGGTACGGTCCTGCCCCACCCCCACTGTGTGGGTCTAGTGGCCTAATCTGGCTGGTTTGGGCAGAAAGTGGCCTCGGTAAGCCATGCAGTGTATTCCTAAGGTACTTTGTTTGGCTTGGTCAATCCCAGCCTAGTCTGGTCCACTCCCCTTTCATGTGAACTGGAGAGAAGGACTCACCACAAGTTGAGCATTTTCAGGCAGCTACAGAGTGTATAAAGAGAAAAACACAGGAAGGAAGGAAGAGAGAGAGATTAGTCCACAGAGGTGAGATGAAAGCGACTCCCTGTGAGCCATGCAGGCATGCAGCAGTGTCTGTGTTTAGTTTCCTCCTCTGTCATAGGCCTCTCTTAGGGTTACTCTGAGGTGGGGCTCCTTGGTCGAAATGGGGAGCAGGCAGGAGCCTGGCAGAAGCCTCAAAGTGGGAGCTGGATCTCAGTGTGGAGTGAGGCAAAACAGAGCACTGGTGGAGGCCCCAAGAGGGGCTTTCCTAGGCAAATTAGGGAGCTAGCAGGGGAAAGAGCAAAAGACCATGCCTGTATGAACCCCACCAGGTACTACTGGTCCTCACAGGGAGTCGTACTCAGCAATGCTGTTAGCCTCCCAACGGTTCTGAGGGACGGAGAAGTCCTTAGTCCTCTACAAGTCCAGCATGCCTGAGCCAAACAACCAGCAGTTAGCGTTTCCTCCACAGAGGCTAAGAGACATTCACTTTATCTTGTTAGGAGATGAATCAGCGAGAGGGGTTGGTGCTATGCATTAAGGTATAATGGCCGCAGAAGGGCCTAAAAATTCCATTTTGTTAATTCTCTGGAGAAATGAGGTCCTTATGTGCTAAGTTATAGCCAAAGTCAGTGGATAACTAAAAGTCTTCGTGTTATTACTGTAAGAAAAATCAACCAAAAAGCTCCCTGCCTTCACTTCCCTTTCCAATCACACTGAAACATGGACCTATGAAAAAAGGCTGCCAGATTTTGTACATAGAACAAAAATCAAGACCCTATTGTTTCTCTTTCTCTTTACACACCACAATCAGGGTGAGAAACCCCAAATCAAGACTTTGCAAATGAAACTTTCACATCATTTCCCTAGCCCTACACCATAGGTCACCATCCCCTGCTCCCCACTAGTAGGCTGCATGCGTGCATCGACAAATGAAATCACAGCTCGTGCGTTGACAGGTTGTTTGGGCCACCTTGTGCTTCTCCAGCTGTGACTTTTTCTGATAAAAATGAGCTTCATGTATTTATAGAAGGCCAAGAGAATAAACATATGGCTGTGCCCCAACAGTCCCACGGGCAAGATGAATTATTAATTCATGAGAGCATGAATCAGCAAAATGCCCCAAGCCATGAACTCTTGGCTAACATATGGTCAAATATAATTGTTCATGCCCATTTCTGACACCTTTCAGAAAGGCCGAACCTGGGGCCACAGGGAAGAGGCAATATTGGCCTTTCTTGCTAAATGGAAAACTTTAAATTTTCTTTATAGTCTAAGGCTTAGATTATATGAGAACAGAATATACTGGACTGAAATATACTTCATGCAAATGCCCCCCTAGCTTATACACAGAACACAAACATCACACTCACATACACAATTAGAATACACATTTACCAAAATGAAATGAGATGAATGGGTTCAAAAGATAAACCTGTCTGGGGTGTTCTTTTAAGTTTAAAGCCCATTCAATCTTTGTATTCAAAACATATTGAAATACAGAACTAAATTTCTAGCCTTCAGAGCACAAGTCCCAAAGGTGAACTGGGAGCGGGCGGGCATGGGAGAGTCCAGACAATGTTTGGATGAGACTCCATGGAGCGCAATGGTCCCCACCTTGGCTACACAAACACCACCTGGGCTTTTAAAGAACTGCAGTGCTTAGGCTATGGGAACCCGAAAGGATGGGAGTATGCTATGCTTATGTAGTTCTGTCATGCACTAAAAAAATTGTTGAATATCATGAAAGAAATTAAGAATTGAGAACAGGGAACTTGTTTCCTTTCTAAGAAGGGCCTCCTCCTGGTATAATAAAAACTCCCATGTTCTTCTTAAGTCACCAGCGCCTTGTAGAAAGCAGGAGATAGTCAGCAGCGTCTCCACAGGAGACTTCACGACTCCTCAGGTGCTTTTTAGCTAGTGGGTGGGGAACGTCCATCAACAAAGGGGCAGGAGATGAGGAGAGTGGGGGGTGACAGCAGGGAGCGTGCACCGGGAAGGAGAGAGAGTGCAGGTCTCGGCCAGCTTTCCAACATCTTACCCTGGAGGAGCAGCTTGTTCTGACTTGTATTTAGGTTAGTCCAGGGCTCCCGAGGCCACGTCAAGAACAGTAGCCGATAAATGTGGTGCCTGCTTCAGAGAAGGGCACGGGCTGCCCCGAATAGTCTAAAGGGCTTTAAAAGAAAAAGTCCTCCCTGTCTGGGTTGGCAGAAATTACTGATGTGTGAGAGGGCCTGATGCCCTCCTGGAGTTGACGTCTGGCTCGGCCTTTGTGGGGAGCACTGGGAGGGGTAATCGTGATAGAAATGCTGCCTTTGCAGCAGAACTGACCATTATTTCACTTTCTGCTGTAGACGCAAGAGTTTAAACACAGACCATGCCGAGAGCACCGATGGGGGGTGGTAGCTGATGGGGTGGGCAGGGCAAGACATGTACATGCAGGAGCGGCAGAAAAGGGTGTAAGGTGACCTCCGCATCCTCTTGGGGTCAATGTGACTTCCTCTCCCTCCCAGATCCCCACTCACAGATGCAGATGCTTCTTCTTGCCTGACTTGGTATCCCAGAATCCAAAACAATTTCAGAGAGCACAAAATGGCTCTGAAACCCTAGTTCCAGGACTATCTGCCCAGAGTTCTTTGCTGCTAAGCACAGCCCATGGTTTAGACGGGTGGGCTGTTCTTGAGATCCCATGGAGAGGGAGAAGCTCCAGGGCTCCAAGAGGCGTATGGTTGCTCTCTACTGTCTCTATTATAACATGTTTATTTTAAGAGTTTTGTACTATGTGCACTAGACAAGTCTCTTGTATATTAGGAAAATACAGCTGTGTTCCCAAAGTTCATAGCTGAGGCAGGGCAGCAGCCTTACAGTGCCATGCAAAAGGTCAGAAAACGAAAGCTGAAGACACAAGCACGAGGGATTCAGTCGGAGATGGGCAGCACACGAGAGAGGAAGAGACAGAAAAAAGATTCTCCAACCCGTGACTCAAGAGTCCCCTTGAAAGATGAACGTACTTAGCTTCCTCCACTACCTCCACCTCGGCATGAGCTGTGATTGGTGCGTTGGAGTGGGCTCCTGTGGGGTCATCGACATTCAGCTCTCCATTAGTTGAACTAACCACCTGAAACAGAAAGACAGAGTGTGACAGGCAGCACGGTGACAGGAGCCTCCTGCCAGCATCCAAGAGGTCCCTCGGGGAGACTTGGTGTCTGGTTTAGGACCTAGCCAAGTAGTGCCGGAGACATTTGCTTTCCAGGATGGAGAGGTCAGCTGTCCTAATTGTGGGAAGGTATCTTATATCAAACCCCCAGACCCACAGCATGTGAGCACTCAAAGATGTTATCATATAATGGTAATATTGTTTGTTCTGAGGGTGTGTGTACGCATGTGTATCAATTTAATACAAACAGACAAATAAAACCAGTAAAATAAGTCATGCTCCTCTTTTTACATATGGGGACACTCAGAAATTATTTAACCAAGCTATAGAGTTAGAATCTGTTGGGCTTTCCTGAGAGGTTTGTCCTAAACATGTAGATTTTCTTCATAGTGCACAAATGCACACAGCTCTTTAAGGTAAAAAGAACTCCATAGCTGACTTCTAAAGGTCATTTTGCTCCCTTGAACACAATGGACACCTGCTCTCAGTGGATCGTGCTATAATCAGGGAACCTCAGTAATGATGTTAAAAAAAATCAAAAATGGAAATCAAGAGTGGGCCTCAGAAACTATTGAACTTTCTTTTGGAAATTTCTTCTTGGCTGGGAGCATTGGTTTGAAGGTATTCAATCACCACTGTCATATCCGCTTTGGTGAGAGGGCGGATGGTAAGGAAATGCTTTCCCTGGAAAGACTAGTCTTATTTCAACAATCTTTATTTCAGGTTCAATGCCATCCCACTTCTCAGTGACGGTCCCCGAACTGTCAGTGAAGGCTCATTCCTGTCACCTGGTTAATGTGGACCCAGTCAGGATTGTCGTGCTTGTGCAGAGCTTCTGTCACTCGGTTTCAGTGCCAGCACATGATTCCTGTTTAGGTGGGTGCTGGGGAGTGGGAAAGGGACCCCGCTGGACAAAACCACTCTGTTGTTAAAGACCTTGGCTAAAACATAGGAGAGAACCACAAAATAGGATAAGTGGTTCAGACAGCATACGCCCCTGGGCAAGTAAGGTCATCTATTGAAAAATATATATTTTCCAGGCTGATGTGAGAATGACATGAAAAATGTAAGGGAGCACACCTGGAACCACACTTGGTGCACAATGGGGCAGCACACTACAGTGGCTAGGAGCTGACTCTGGAGTGAGCCGACTCTGGGTGTGAACCCCAGCATCACCACTTACTTGCTGTGGGTCCTTGGGCATGATCCTCAATCTTTCTGTGCCTGAGCTTCCTAATCTGTAAAATGGGGAAATAGATCATTGTGCTTACCTAATTGGGTTACTATGCAGACAATCCACAGAAAATACTTACTCTAATGCCTGGTTAACTGAAAAAACTCAAAAGGATCCTATAACTATTATTTTTCCCTGATAAATGCTTATTTTTTTAAGCATTTAAAAAAAGAGCTGAGGTCTTAACCAGTAGTTAACTAACACAAGTTTCTTTAACAGTAATCAAGGGGAAGATAAGAGGAAATGTTTAGTATAAGGTTTTTGAGTTTTTATTCAAAGAGGAAGGGGTGGACAGGTGAATATTACTTACTGGTTGGTAGTCTATAGCTACTATTACTTTCTACACTGGAAACATTTATTGTTCTTATAAATAATTAAACTTAAAGTTAAACAGGGCTGTACAGGTAGTGAAAGAAACCTACAAAATTAAATTTGCATTTGCCCAAAAGAGATCTAAATTTCTGCGAGTGATCAAATTTAGCATCACTGATTAGTGGAACAATCTAGCCCAAATTTACTTATCTTCTGAGATGAGATGATAGCACACAATACCATCAATCAGTGTTCTTACCCTAATGATATTTTCTCTGAGACTAACCATAAAGGGAAAAGGAAGAGGCTGTCTACTCCCGTACAGAGTTACAGTCTTGGAAACCCACACGGGCAGTTGCAGCGGCTCTGTAAGGTTGCTATACGTGGGAAGTGATTCCAGGGCCGTGAGTCTGGGGTTCTTTTTTTTAATGTTCATGACACTGGTACACGATAGGACTGTCCTTGTTTTTAACAGATGAAGGCCTAAGTATTTTGAGATCAAAGCGTGATGGTAGCTGTAACGTTCAAATAGATTAGACAAATACAAACAAACAAACAAACAAACCATGAGGGGCTTCAGAAAGTTCACGGAAAACTGCTCTGAGAAGGATCAGACAGAGAGGGCGAAAATTGTGGAACAGAATTCAAGATCATCAAAGAAGCCTGGCTTATTGCTCAGTAGAGACAGGTGGGACACCCCCACCCCATGCAGCCCCCACAAGACTCTGGCCCTTGTCCTTCAGTTCTGGAACTGAACTTACTGAGGTGTTAGAAAAGTCAACCAGTTACAATGTAAAAATGCAGCACTTAGCCCGGGCAATGGAGGGAGAGTGGAAATAGGAAACAGGGAGGAGGTGGGATAAGCAACGGTGCATTGAAGGGTTTGTATCAGAAGATGTATGAATTATTGAATGTAAAACTATGATCTGTTCTATAAACCTTCACCTAATTCAAAAAGGTTTTTTAAAAAGGTTTGTGGAAAAATGGAGTTAAAAGATAATGATTTTTTTTCACAAAATTTTTGAAGCTCCATTATGCACATACACTAATACAGATTTGAAGCAAATATGGCAATAATCTTCATTCATTAATCTAGACTAAAGTTACACAGACCCTCCTTGCATTGTGTTTTTAACTTTTCTGTAGACTGGAAAATTAAAAAAAGATTTATAGGGGTACCCACAAAAACAAAAAGAGAAGGGGGAAAAATAAGGAGCTGATATCGAGGGCTCAAGTAGAAAGAAAATGCTTTGAAAATGATGGCAGCATATGTGCACATGTGCTTGACACACTGGACGAATGTATGGATTGTGAGACAAGATCTAAGAGCCCCCAATAAAAGTATTTAATAAAAAAAAAAAATTTTTTTTTTAAATGAGAGAGGATTTACAGATTGAAGAACCCTGGGGCCACATTCGCTAAAGCTGTCATGCTTATTTCCTCACATCTGCCTCTTGTGAGCACATCTGGCTGCATACTAATGCTAATGCTGGTGAATCTGCAAGCACAGGGATAAAGGAGAAATCTTTTTTAAAAAAATCATTTTATTGGGAGCTCATACAACTCTTATCACAATCTATACATACATCAATTGTTTCAAGCACATTTGTACACTTGTTGCCATCATCATTCTCAAAATATTTGCTCTCCAAGAAATCTTGTTTCTTAATGAATGATTCAGAAATTAGACAAGATGTTAAAAAAAAAAAAGCCTTGGCCCAAATGAATTAGCAGTAAGCTGATATCAGCACTGAGAATAACCTGGCAACTTTGGGCCACAGCACTCAATCAGTGTTCCACACGTCTCATACTCTCTAAATCGCCATCTGGCCCAGAAGCAATGGCTTTGTGCAATCTAAGGAAAAGGTTATCCCACTGGTATAGACCAGACCTCTAACCTGTATAATGAGCTCCTGTTTACCCTTAAACTTTACATCTCAAATAAGCCTGGGAATCAACGGCTACTAATGGGTCTACAGCGCATCCATCTAAGCATTATTTCTGGTGGAGGGTAAATTTTATACTGATCAACTGGAATTTTTTTTTCATTACTGCAATTTTAAAAAAAACTGGTAAATTTTAAGATATATTGGGTTAAATAAAATATATTACTGAAATTAGTCTTACCTACTTCTTTTTACTTTAATGTGGCTACTAGAAAACTTTAAATGGCAAGTGTTACTTATATTAGAGTACTATTGAACAGCATTGTTTTAAAGCATATTTTTAATTAAGCATTAATTTGTGATGGCTATTTATCTTAAATTGGATTAATGAGATAAAAAAGTATATGTACTCAAGATAGCAGATAATATTGCCAAATTACCCTAAAAAATAGTTGTCCTGGTTCACTTTTCACCAATAGTGTTCACATAGATGAGCCAACAGACATTATTAAATTTTAAAACGTCTGCCAAGATGCTGGGGCAAAATTGACATTTTAAATCTATTTTGGTTTTATTTTTTTTATCAGAGCTATATAAAAACATGTGTAAATAACAAAATATTTCTAAAAGACTTGTTAGGAAAACCAGTAGTCTCTTTCCCTCCATTCTACCATAGCTGATTCATTTGTTTTTTATTTCAGTGTATCTTGACTTTTCAAGGCATTAAATTAATAATAGGTATACCATTTTCCCTCCTTGTATGTTTCCATCTGGGAGAATGATAAGGCTTCTCCTCGCAGACAGATTCAGTCTCGGAAGGCACGGGCAGTTCTCCTCAGCCCTCGAGGGTTTAACGAGTTGTAACTGACCTGATGACAGTGAGTGTGGTTTGGGTTGGGCTAGGCTAATTCTTACTCCTTATAGGATGATGGTGAGCCTTAAAAGCCAGTCATTACTGAGTCACGGAATCCATTCTGGTTATCTTTTCTTTCCTGTGCCACTGATGATTTCCCTTGGAGTTACATTTGCTTTAAAATTGTTTTTAAATATTAATTGCTAACCACTAATTCTATCCAACCTTTCCACCATTTTCAGAATGGTTTCTCTCATTCTGGCTGACATCATCAACATCCTAGTGATGTGGACATTTTGGTGAAATTGCTCTTGGAGTCTCCTGCCCATCGCTGTTTTGGACAGGCTGCCCTCCACTACTGGCCAACTGCTGTCATTGGGGATCTCCTAACTTTACTACTTGGGCTTCCTGTTGCTCTGTCCTGTATTGGATTCTTCCATTTCCTGGTTCCTAGGCTAGTCACTTATCCTAGAGGACCACCCTCCCATAGCTCCATTTAAGAGAGGGACGTGGGTTTATATTAACAGTAAAAACTTTGGGAGACCAGAGTTTTGGAAACCTCTTTATTTTTACTTTCACCAGATTGACAACATAGCCAAATACAGAATTGTAAATAAAAATAATACCTCTAAGATTTTGAAGGCATTGCAAGCACCTTGTCTTTTAAATTCTTATATTTCTGTCAAGATATTTGAAACTCCATTCATTTCTTTTTTCTTTTAATTTCTAGTGCTTTCTTTATGTGTGACTATTTATTTTTGTTTCTGGGAGCTTTGAAGGCTCTTCTTTGTCCTCGGTGCTCTGAAATCGCACAACGATGCACTCGGCATGGTTCTCGGTCCATTATCTCCCTCTGGAAACCGTTTTCTGAATTCTGGGGAAGCAGTTTGCTGATTCCCTCCCTTCCATTTTCTACAGATGCCATAGTATTCAAAATATGGAACTTGTTAAATTCTCCTCAACTTTTTTTATTGTTTTAATCCGGTGGTCTCTTTGTTCTGCTGTCTGGGGTGCTTCTAAACTATTCTACTGAGCTTTTGTTCTTGTTTTTTTAATTGGGTGAATGTTTATAGAACAAATCACTTTGTCACTCAATAAATCATACTCATTTTGTTACATGTCATTGATTCTAATCCCCATAACATAGTCTCACTTATCCTACTTGCTGTGTTTCTTATTTCCGTTTCTCTTTCTTTCCTGACCCTCTGAACTTTGTCCTTGGACAAATGCTGCCCTTTAGAATTACGGTTTCCTTTAGAGATTTATCTCCTTCTTTGGCTGAAAGCTGAGTCATTAGGGTGAGTTCCGTTCCAGGCTTGAAGGGTAACTAAGGGCCGCAGTCTCAGAGGTTCTGCCAGTCTCTATCTGATCTGTACGGCTGGTCTTCTAGTGATTTTTTAGTTTTGTCCCATATTTTTCTTCCACTTTATCCAAGACCTTCTAATACAATTCCTTTCCGAACAGTTGGTAGTGGTAGCCAAGAGTTCTTAATTTTTGCTTATTATTTCTTAAATTTCCATAAACTCTTTCACTCTTTTCTGTTGTTGATGTTGTTGTGTATTGTAATTTGTGTGAAAGTTTACAGAGCAAACTGTTTTCCCATTCAACAATCTTTCCTCCCTCTTACTGCCTTCTGACCTTTTAGGAGGGGAAGGCAGGGCAAATGCTACCTTTTTGATCTCGTAAAGTTGACTGTTCAGTGGAGCATGTTCCTCATGGGGAGAACGTTCATTTTTTAATAGCATCCTGACTAAATAATCTGTTGGAAAGCTCTATATTGTTGTAATACCTTCTGGTTCTTTACCATCTGGGGATATTAATAGCACAGATCCTTTGTTATTGTTCATTTGCTCTGGTCTCTTTCTTATTAAAGGCTTTTCGGAGATTTCTCATAGTCTAATAATACTTGATTGTCACATATGATGTGGGGGTTCCAAAGTTCATTGACACTGTGAGTCTCAATGGTGACACTGTGGGTCCTAATGTAATGCTGTGACAGGGCCACTTCACAGGGGAAAGCCGCTGTCCACACGCTCAGATGTTTTCTTTGGACTCATCAGATTTCTCAGCACGAACTCTTTCTATCTCTTGCCCAGAAGGTGGAGCTCTGGCTTTCCGCATTCTGGAACACTAACTGGGGGAGCATCCACTCAAGGTACACACACTCACTTCATCTTCTTCTGTCAGTAAACTATTCTGCCCCTATCTGTGTGCAGATAGTCTCCATTTTTCCCCACGCTAGACAATAAACTTCCAGCCATTCTTGGGAGGGGGTAAGGGATCAAAGGATCTACTGCTTCTTAATCAGACTTGCAATCAATCGTCTGAATTTTAGCATATAACCTTCCCCATCCATTTATTTCCACTGATAGAAGGCCAATTCCTGGGCCTTTTGAAGACGCCTCAGTAAAAAATAGGCTTAATTCCCAGCTTTCTCCTCTCTTGGCTCCTGACCCAGTTTTCTTGGAACTATTAAAATTGCACGTCTGCTTTCTAGTTTCCAAAATTTAGTTGTTGTGATGCCTACTCTTCTGTTTCAGTTATTCATATAAGAAATGACGTCATTTTGAAAATTCCCTCGACAATTCTTTTAGCGTTGTTTCAGGAGGATGTGAAAGCACAGCAGTGTGTACAACCCTGCAGTTTTACCCAGATGCTCCTGCGAGGTTTGTAGAGAGTTAAAGCTCTCCCTGAACTTCCAGAGAATAATGTGATCTTTTAGTCAACCATTCCTTGTAAAAGCACATGCTAGACAATCAAACCTGTACAGATGTATTTTCACATGCAAAAGATCTGTCTCTTTACAGGAATCTATGTTTGTTAGCTGTGTTCATTTGGGTGCCCCAAGTAATGTTATCATTTATCAGCATGAAAAAAAATTAAGGTTAAGATTATTATAATAGGAAAAGATAACAGAAACATTCCAGATAAGCCAATTCTTCAAGACCACATTTAATCCAGAGAGGAATTAAAAGAAAAAAAGCCTACTTTTTTTGTGTGTGGCTAACTCACTCATTGACTTGTATCAATTAACTTCCTCACCTTCTTATAGACTGCGATGCACATGCAGTCTTCTACCCACAAAACACTTATTTTCTACTTTTCTGGTCTTTACAATTCATAGCCTCAACCTTAAGGCACTTGTACCTCGATGCCATTTTTGTGGTTTATCAAGAGTAGATCTAGGTGGTAGAGCTCGGTAAATCAGAAATCAGTATAAAAACTGTCTAGAGATTTCTTAGTCAGTGACAACAACCAGCAATCACATCCACAATTCACTCCACGTCACCTCAGCAAACGTCAGCACCAAGTTCATGACAGAAGCAGCTCAGTTTTGCTTTGAGTTTACAGTCTGAAGGAGGCAGTTTCAGAAGCAAGACGACATTCTATTAGCCAAGCGGGGAGGCCAGAAAAAAGCAGTAAGTACCTGCACTGATCCCCCATGGCGGTCTGCAGCCAAGTGAGACGTCAGGTAGGAGGTATTGGTCTGCCTGCTGGGCTGGATTTCCCACTCTCCTCGGCGCTCTGACGACGCAGTCTGCTCAGGCGGTAGGAAGCATGAGAGCAAGATGGGGGGTGAAAGGTGAAGCAACAACAAAATCAAATACATTTGTGCCTTTGTTTCAGGCTTTAAACTTAGAATTGCTGCAAAGCATTTAAGAAAAAGTTTGAAAAAAAAAAAAAAAGAAAGTTTGTTTGGCTTCCCTGATTTCAACCTTATCTAAAGTTTACAAAGCACGCCCTTCTCAGAGGCAGAGAAACAAGGATCACAAAAAGAACAAAACAAAACTCCACAGCTTAAGCTGGAATCACTTGATAAGCTTCTCAATTTCCACTAATTAGTAGCCACTAAGCAAATCAAATTCAGAATGGTAATGTTATTGGGTAGAGGAACAGCCATCCTACACAATCATTCACCGCGTAAAGGTTTATCTGAATAATGAGCAGTAAACACTGAAAATTCCTGGCATTGGGAATCAAGATAATATGCCTTTTCCTTCAACAGAAAACTCACTACTCTGAACATCACTCTCCGTGAGACTGTCTACTGAGGTGAAACACTCAGTGGTTATGGCTGGGGCATGCTCTCTTTTCCGACAGACGCAGGCTGCCTGTCAAGAATAAGAAAGGATGGAGGAAAAATAAAACTATGGTGTTTTTCTGATTCCTTTAGGTATCCAGTCTGAAGTTAGAAAAGGTTTAATTGACATGACTACTGTTAATTACTGTCTTCTAGAAACCCCAAAGTAGAGCTTTCCCATTTGCTGCCACTCAGTTTCCTTCACTTCTCCTTTACCTGATAGCTCGCTCTCATACTGTTCTCATCTTGCTCCTACGTGATTTTCAACTGAAGACCGCCTCTTCCCCTGTGCCAGATGGCTCAGGAGGTATTAACACCATGATGCTCAGCGCTAAGAGTCCTAAGGCTCCACGAAAAATGAGTAGTTGGAAAGGCAGCAATAAGGGATTAGTAAATCAAAATTTAATTGCTGCTGATATAAACAACAGCAGGGTGTGATATTGTTGCTCTGCATGAAAACCAGTAAGGATGCTATAAATTGTAGAAATGTTCATAGCTCTGAATGTTGTAGAGTGTAAAAAAGAAGAGAGTGAGGAAAGAATGGTCTGAGGAGCTATATTCACTCTCACTCAACAAGGGTTGTTTAAAGTGCACCATGAGTAATTATTAATGCGAAGAGGCTTTTCTCATAAAGAGCCCTGTACTAGATAACGTACTCATCTGTATTCAGGGTTATGAATTCACAGGAGGAAACAGTGCTCTAAAAGATCCTGGTCATGTTTCCCCTGATATTTAAGAAATGTGTATAGTCTAGAATTTGCTTGCTATATAATCTTATAAAAGAGGAATTTGGTTTTATACTGCTAGTTGCATAAGCCATTTAGTGTAGTTTTGAGTCTTATGATACATGCTTAATGCAATTACTTCACTCATGAATGCTGTCTGTTTTGCATTTGCTTTTATGGCAAACAAAATTGAAAGTGGTAGGCAATGTACATAAAACCCTCACATGTTTTAAGTGTTATGGTTGAGGAGGACCTGGACTGCTAGTCAACCATTATTTTCACTTTTACTAAAATATGTATCAGGATTGTGGTGTGGTGCTACTGTGTCTAACTCACAGTGCTGTATACTTGCTTCTATTCATTCAAACGAAATAAACAATTTGTTGGAAGAAGTAAGATTTTAGTTTAAGTGAAAATAAGACATTTTCCAAAGGTGTAAAAGTCATGCTCTATTCTCCATCCGCAATGTGCTATGCATCTTACTCAGAATGCTTATCAGTGCTTCTCGCAAGACAAGGGAAGCACACGCCACATCACACTGTTGTCCTCTAATGCCTACTCTATCCAGGGGAAGTAGAAAAACCAAGTGACAGAGGTGAACCGGGGGTTGCTGGCTAGTAATTCTTGGGAACCACTTTTCCTTAAAATGCAAGCTCTAGTGCAGGCATCCTCAAACTACAGCCGGCGGGCCAGACATTTATCCGGCCCGCCAGGTGTTTTTGCCCCGTTTGTTTTTTTACTTCAAAATAAGATATGTGCAGTGTGCATGGGAATTTGTTCATAGTTTCTTTTTAAACTATAGTTCGGCCCTCCAACGGGCCTGAGGGACAGTGAACTGGCCCCCTGTTTAAAACGTTGAGGACCCCTGGTCTAGTGGTCATCTTCTCTGGAATTTAAGAGGTATCTAGAGGTCGTTGTAGATAAGACTTCAAGCGCCAAGTGCCAAATTTGGAAATGATTTAGTGCCTAGGTCCTAGAGGACACCAAGGGATGTTGATGCCTACATTCTGCCACAGTCAGTTCCCGTACCAGGACTTCTGTACACAGGGACTATGATTAGGTCCAATCAGATGCTGATATTCTAAAAAGCAGCAGAGAACTAGTTACACTAAGCAAATCTGTTTAAGGGATTAATGTGTAAACCCTTCACGCAATCAGGAATGTCCAAAGGTAGCAGAATCATTTTGCAAAATCAATTTCTCTCTATTATTTGAAAGGCAAAGGTCCACGTGCAATGTGTAAGCCCCCAACGGCAGGAGGAGAAGGAACCTCAAGTAGCAGGGACTCCTTGGGGACACTTTTAGATCTTCAGTTCCGATTGCACTGCGTGCATGGATAGTCTTGAGTTACTATGCGGCAGGTGAATGTGGGGCGAGACCGCAGCAATCCAGGACAGTATTATCAAAAGCTAAGCTAACAACAGTGCTTAAGAGGATACACAGAAAATGGTGAACAAGGTAAACTACTGCCTATATTCCTTCTGCAAGTATTTAGCAGGGACTGATGGAGAGACAGCAGGGAGCGCTACACTAACCCAAGTAAGAAAATACAACCTAGAAAGGTCTCACCCATCTGTGACTTCACATTCCCATAGGAGACAAAGCTACTGGCTGAAGCTAAAACAGAGCAAACATCTTCCTCTTGTCCTAACAACAACAGCAAAACCCCTCCACCCTATAGTAGTCACGTGAAGCTAATTTTGAAAAATTACTTTGGCTAATACTCAAAGAATCGTGTCCACCTTCACCTCATGGCTCCCACCCATCAAATCCATCTATTTGGACACTTTGCCCTCAAATGGTGGTCTTTTAGGCCTCATTTTGTCTTCAACTATAATTAACAAGAATTAAAACTCGATAGTCCTCAAATATTAGCCTTTAATACATTCCATTCCATTCGGTCTTACTACACTTGGTTTGAGGTGGTAAAGATGAGATAGAAGAAGAAAGAATGGGGCAGGAAGATAGTAATTATCAAAAGAAAAAAAATTTTTGTTGCGTTTTGATAAATGTGAAAAATTTGAAAGCTTGCAAAATTATTAAATGTACACTTAAACAACATTTTAATCTTCCAATGCCAGGCAAGCAGTATTTCACGTGATGTGTATAGTGACTTCCTGCATTTAACACATTTAGATAAACATCAGGAGAGTTTAAAAAAAAGTCACTGACGAAAGGATGGAGAAGGGATGACCATGTTTTTCACACAATGTGCCTACATAAATACTGTGCACATGCAGATAATGTGCACAGCATGCACAGAAAATCATTCAGCAGGTACAGCTTACAAAAAATAATCTCCAGTGCATCTGCGTTTTCTTGTTTACATATGGGTGTTCCTAAACTAAGTCCAGAGGAGCAGTAGGGTCATTTCTGTGAGGCTTTTATCGCATCAGACCCTCACACAGAATGGTCTAATACACCCAGGAGGAATTTTTCAAGGTAAGATTAATCCAGAATCTCCACATCTTTTCTTACCAATATATGCCCCTCAGATTAGTGTCTGCTGCAATGCAAACCAGACTGCAGGGCAGAGCCATGCTAATATTCTCAAGGTCTGTTTTCTGCTTCTTGTTAAAATTTCCTCATAGAAGGGAAACCATGCCTGACTTTTCTGGAAAGCTAAGGATATCTGTCAGAAGCAAATAAAATTTATGCCTGAGGATAAATGATCATAAGTAGATGGTTCAGCCCTCTGTGGCACAGGTAAACTATTACATTAGAGCTACATTTTACATAAAAAGAGCTTTAGATCACTAAATAGTGTTGCATTTTTTAAATCAGAAAAATTTCTATCTTACCATTCTAGGAACAAGAGTCTACAGAATAAAATATTTACAAATGTACACAGATTGAAGAAAACCTTTAATATGGCATAGAGAGTTATGAGTGGAGGTATACAGCAGAAGCAGCTTTTAAGAATGGGGTTTTATGTTAATTTCTGCACTTGCTTGCTTCAGTGTGTCCCTCAGTGTTAATGTCCCACAAACGAGGGGAAGCCCTAGCCTGCCTTAAGCTCTACGCTGGTGGGTGGCCAGGGCAGCTGGCTGATCTCCATTCCGCCTCAGCTCCTGCTAGCTAGCAGGCAGCATGTTAGGAAATGACACGCCAGTACAGGAGGAGGCAAGTTGGCTCTGAGCAAACTCCTCTGTCCCTTCAACTAGCAAGTCCTGAACCTCGCTGAGAACTGAGCGGTACTCTGTAAAAGGAAGGAGGACAGGGAATTAATCAGTTTTCGGTTATGTAAGACTACTGAAATGGAAACTTTAAAAATTATTATCTTTATTTTATTAATATCTCTGACAATCTAGCTATTTAGCACTCTGGCCTAATCACCCCTATGGAAGAATTAATAGTCACAACAAGCTTTAATTAGCAACTAGGAAAGCACTAAATCACATGTGTTTTTCTAAGGCAATGTACTTCTCATATCCATTTCCTGAGAGTTTAGAAACAAACAAACAAATCTCGATCCACTTGGACCGGGGGCAGTTCTTCAGAACTCATCGCGCTCGGGCTCTTTTCATTTTTATGGTTTATTGTGTGTTTATAAGGTAATGCGTTGGTTTAAACATGGCTCATCCAGAGGGATGAAGAATCCCCTTTACTGAGCTTTGATTCCTATTTTCCTTCTTAGTCAAATTAGAAAATTTGGAAAGCAATAGATGTAATAGAAAATTACAGAGAATAAACTCGTTCCCTTAAACATGTGCCCTGGATGCCCATTGGGCTGTTAATCATAAAGCCATCCGTTTGATACTACCAGCCACTCTTCAGGAGAAAGATGAGGTGTTTTACTACTGTAACGAGTGATCCTCTTGGAAAACGACAGGGCACTTCTACCCAGTCCTTCAGGGCTTCTACTAGTCAAGTGGACTCAAGGGCAGTGAGCTGGTTTGGTATGGACGCACAGAAAAGTCCAAAGGAATCAGTCATAGCTTGGGATTCACATTATCAGCGGTCACTAGGTGTCAGAATCAACTTCGTGGCAGTTGATTTTTTTGCTACCATCGAGGGTACAATACTGTATTTGGTCAGGGGTAAGTTGATTTTTTTGCTACCATCAGGGGTCCAATACTGTATTTGGTCAGGGGTAAGTTGATTTTTTTGCTACCATCAGGGGTCCAATACTGTATTTGGTCAGGGGTAAGTTGATTTTTTTGCTACCATCAGGGGTCCAATACTGTATTTGGTCAGGGGTAAGTTGATTTTTTTGCTACCATCGAGGGTACAATACTGTATTTGGTCAGGGGTAAGTAGATTTTTTTGCTACCATCAGGGGTCCAATACTGTATTTGGTCAGGGGTAAGTTGATTTTTTGCTATCATCAGGGTACAATACTGTATTTGGTAAGGGGTAAGTTGATTTTGTTGCTACCATTGGGGGTCCAATACTGAATTTGGTCAGGGGTAAGTTGATTTTTTGCTATCATCAGGGTACAATACTGTATTTGGTAAGGGGCAGTTAATCTTTTTGGTAGGGTTTAAGAACTATTGTTCGCCAAACTGATTCTTTCTAATCCCACGACAGGATCTGTTTTTCCTAACTTTACAGGCCAAGCAGCTCTTCTTCATATATCCATAGAAAATTTACAAAATAACGAGGTCAATGGGGAAAGGAACTATCTGCATCTCCTCTGCTAAACCATACCCGTCTGCTTGTGCAGCATTTACCTGAGGACTGGCACGAGTTTAGACTGACGTGTGAGAGAGCAGGAGTGCTGCTGCATGCCCAGCCTCGTCAGCGTCGTACTCTAACTATTTGGTGTGCTCCACAGGACACGGAATAAGACCTTCGCTGGTGCAGAATGCTGCACGCTAACAGATCTGTGGGTGCCAGCAGGACTTAGTTCTTGACTGGATTTTATCAGAATAAGCTTCGGAAGCTCTGCCAGGTAGCACTATTCATGCTTCCAACCCCTTCCGGATGGGTGGGGGATGCGGACTTCTTGAGAGAAGAATCAGAGTCCTGGCAAGACTGACTGCCTTTGCAACTAAAACAAAAACAAAGGGTAACGTGATGGAAAAGACCCGCCCACTCAGGATCTTTCTAACTGGATCTAGCTTTTAGGAATACTGCTTCTCTCCAAGTTCATGATTTAATTATAGTTCTCCAGTTGGGAAATTATGTTCAGAAAAATGAAGCATCGGTAGTCAACACAGTTTTAAAAGGCACATCCAAGGTGGGTTTGAATATATTTCTTTAGAAACCATATTTGGGATCTACTACTCTATCTCGGAACCAAATATCCACTGCAATACACCCATAATCTCTATCAGCAAAACAAAAGTAGGAAGAAAAGTTTAAATTTCTTTTTCATGAAAAGTTAAATAAAAATCTGGGTATTTAAAATCTATCCAGTGTATGGTTTGTTATAATATATGTAAGAGCCCCCAATAAAATGATTTATTAAATTTAAAAAAATTTTTAAATAAAAATCTGGGATGGGAAGGGGGAATCGATTACAAGGATCTACATATAACCTCCTCCCTGGGGGAGGGACAACAGAAAAGTGGGTGAAGGGAGACGTCGGACAAGGCAAGATATGAAAAAATAATAATTTATAAATTATCAAGGGCTCATGAGGGAGAGGGGAGCGGGGAGGGAGGGGAAAAAATGAGGAGCCGATGTCAGGGGCTTAAGTGGAGAGCAAATGTTTTCAGAATGATGAGGGCAATGAATGTACAAATGTGCTTTACACAATTGATGTATGTATGGATTGTGATAAGAGTTTACAAGCCCCCAATAAAATGATTAAAATAAATAAATAAAAATATATATCCAGAACAGCAGCACTGATTATGAATTCAATGAAAACAAGGGGAACACATTACTCATTTTTCTCCTGAAAGTACAACTTTAGTTCTAAAATATTGTAAATATTGTGAGCAGACATATATGTTCATTGTAACTTCACTATTTAAATGATCTATTTTTTCCCTTTCCATTCCAAATCTTTTATGCCCTAATGAAATTGTATTTATAATGCAATAAAATCTCATTATAGACTGACTATCTTAGGGAAAATTACCCATAATTCTACCACTTTCAATGACACATGTTAATACTTCACTTTCCTTCCGGAGATTTTATTTCACATTTCTGAAGGGAATCAGGAATCAGCTGTAATTTTGTATTCTGAGTCCTCACTTTATACACCATGGACATTTTCGTGTCACTTAAAGACTTCAGAAAAATTATTTTAAGTGGCTATACAATAGTCCACTGAATCAATGTTTCATTATTTAGCTTACTCAATAAAGGATTTGAGGTGAATACATGACCATTTCTGTAACTAGATAGATGAGTCACTGCTAAGCTTTTGTGATATTTTATATACACAACTTAATCTGCATTTTGTGTCATTTTATTATGGTCAATTCTAAGAAGAAAGATCTTGACTAAACAGGACAATTACATTGTCAGATTACTTTCTAGGGAAAGTGTACCAGTTTGCAGTATTAACAAGAATGTTTGAGTATCATTTTACCTGGGCCTTCACTTATCTGTGCTGGGTACTAGCTTTTAAAAAAGGAGGTTGGAGGTAGGGGAAGAACATTTGCAGAACAATTATCAGCAGTCATATTATAGGTCTAACCAGGCGTCCTCAAACTCTGGCCCATGGGCCACATGCGGCCCGCTGAGGACATTTATGCGGCCCGCCGGGTGTTTTTGCCCCACTTTGTTTTTTACTTCAAAATAAGATATGTGCAGTGTGCACAGGATTTGTTCATAGTTTTCTTTTAAAACTATAGTCTGGCCCTCCAACAGGTCTGAGGGACAGTGAACTGGCCCCCTGTTTAAAAAGTTTGAGGACCCCTGGTCTAAGCCAATTACTTTGATTAAAGCATGTAACTAGGAGCCCAATTAGTGTCAGTAGTTTGCTAAGTCCCATCTTTTTGCTCACCCACTCTCTTTTATCCACTAAGACTTTATCCACTTTATCCACTAAGCTTGCGTTTCTTGAAACATATTTTCATTACCTACCAAGTCACACACCAAGAAACCATAAGTTGGTACCGATTGGTGAATCTGTCAGTACTAGTGCATGTACTTTATTTTGTGGACGTTATTTCTATAAACCTGTGCGTACATGTGCATCCTTCTACATACTACTCTCAACTTATGTACATGTTATCTTTCAGATGCTATGTTTTTATATTTTATTATAAAAATATCTGCTAATATAAATAAGTGGGGTCGAGGGTAAGGGGGAACAAGCTACATTTGATAAGTAATAATTATAAATTTGTAAAATCAGTTTATTATTCTTTGCTTACTTATATACTAGGTCCAAGTTTTTCCTCTCAGCAATAAATGTAATATAAAGATAAAAAACCCTTTGTCTTATTTACTTCCTAGACAGTTAGCTTTTATTTATTTTTTAATTATGTTTTGTTTTTATTTCTTAATTGTGTCCTCTTGTCCTTAGAATGAGAGATGTTTCCTGTCCAGATCACCAGTTTCCCAATCAAGGAACAGTGAAAAAAGACACAGCCTTCTCTAGAGTGGTCTAAAGCAGGTCCTTCTGAGATCTTGGCCAGCTCTAGGATTGACCTGGGCACAACGACAAAGGGTGGTGTTGGAGGGTCCAATTCATGCCCAGGCTACCCAATACCAGCAAGAACGAACACAGAATTGGTGAGGGCTCCACAATGGATGGCAAATGAGACCCAGAAAGGGCTCATTCAATGTTCCTATGCAAAGGTCCTAAGTCACAGATATCCCCCGCCCATCAAGCAACCAACCCTGACAAGACCAGATTTTCTAATCTAGCAGTAGGAAATAGGATATATATGCTGAAACTTGGGTTTTAATAATAGTCGTGAGATAGAGAACTGTCGGAAAGAATTGAGGGCTCACACGTACCTGATTTCTAAAGGGTTGCTGTTGTGAAGGCCGATCCCTGTGTGTGTGGCTTTCTCGAGTTATTGCAGATGCTCCAGAATCTACATGAACTGACCCGACAGGAGTCGGCTGGGGAAAATGAAACACAGAGTCACGTGGTAAAAATAAGGGCAACATGATACCTCTGCGAAGTACACAATCATTTTAATTCTAGTACTAGTAATAGTCATGAGTATTTGCAGCTACCAAGGGCAGTTTCAAGTCTTGTCTGCTCAGGTTGCTCATCTGCAAAAGGGAAGCAGCTTGGTCCTCAATACTTCATTGAAGAGTACCTGGCCTTTGAAAATGAGAAGCCATCCTAGACTGCTCTCTGTTAGCATGTTCTCAAGCCCTCGGATCCCTGTCAGAACAGCAAATGCCAAGGCTCCCCATGGTGCTGGGTTCCACTTCCGATGAGACCAAGTTCCTTAACAGTTTATGTAGTCCCAACTTCTGAATCATACGGATGAACCCCCCCCCCCGCCCCCCGCAGAAGACTGACTTGAATTCTAGTACCTTAGACCATACAAGTCATAATCTCAAGAATATTTAAAGGAGTTACTCCTATTTCCCAAGTCTAACGAGAGCAGCCTCTGACATCGCTCTGTAAAGGTTGGTAAATGTACACACTTACAGGAAAGGGATGAGGTGATACGGTCTGAGAAAGGAAGTTACGAAGTGGAAAGAGGATACTTACAATAGCCCTCCCAACCCAATCGTAGGCATAGTCAAAGGTGTAGCCTTTCCTTTCAAAGAGGTCTGTGAAGAGGGTCCGTAAATACTCATAGTCAGGTTTTTCAAAGAAGTCTAATCTCCTCACATATCGAAGGTAGGTTGCCATCTCCTCTGTTAGGAAAGAAGTGAAAGGACATGCTTATTAGCTGAATGATCCCCAGCTGGGGAAGCTCTGTGTAGACTATTAGACAATGATGCTTTCTTTATGGGCCAAATGGAGGGGATAAAAACAATCTTGTTCCAAATAATAATGAAAGAAAATATAAATCAGTTTGATACCACCCTGACCTGGAAACATCAAGTCATAGTCGCTACCAACTTTGAAGCTTCATTCCCATTGGCTAGAATGTTCTTAAGGGGCCTACCTGGAAAGTTCTCACAGAGAGCTTCGATGGGAGTATTCCTTTTGGTGTCACCAATCTTCTGGTATCTCTCTTTTAATGTATCAGCCTGTGGAAGGCAGGGAAAGAATGTTATTTGGCAAGAGGTGTTAACTATCAACAGAGGTGATAGATTGAGTCTTAGGCAAATAGTACCAAATTTACTGAAAATAAGTGGCTAGGATAAGAAAATAAAAATATTATGTGGCAAAAATTTCAAAATTGCAGCAGCTTAGTAATTTCCCATTGCCACTGGAGTTCCAGTGTGATTCAATACTCTCCTTTAGATCTGTTCTATGGTAAGGCGGCTATAATTCAGATTTTTTTAAATGATAAAACTGAAAGTATTGCTAATTAAAATGAGGACAGGAATATAGATGGCACTACTACACATTTATCGAGAGAAGCTGAATAAGGAAAAAAGCAAGAAATTTTAAAAATGCCTTCCGTGTTTAATCGGACAAGTTTTGTGCATGTCAGTGGACCACAGCAGCGCCAGTCTGCTATGAGGAGGACTGTGGAGAAAAGGCCCCTGGGCCTTGGACCAACAGTGGGCTCTGACGAAACATTTGGGAGGCTCTACCTAGCAGGCTGTGCTCAGTTTCAGAATACGGTTCTGAAGTAAACTGGAAAAATGTTTTATCTAGAACTACCACTAAAATGGTCTGTGAAAAATGAACCATGGAAAAAAGGACATTTTAACCAAATAGTAATGGTGACTTATTTGGCTCTATAATAAATAAGTTAAGGTATAAACCTATATTTGAAAGATGTCCATGCCAATGAGAAGCTAAAGACCATGGAGGCAGTGTTAGGAAAGGAACTTAAGGGAAGGAAATAAAAATCCACCCAGATGGAAAGGGCAGAAGCCTATTTTCAAGACAAACGTCCTAAAAGGCACAGCAAAACGGAAACATTTTGTCCTTGTGGAGGGAGAGAACATAGAAGCACCCCAAGCTACTGACTGCATTTCTTTCTACAGTAGCATAATTTACAGCTCAGATCTGAGTCTCACTTTTACCTCCCTAAAGGGACTTCAGGTAGAAGCTTACCACTTCCCAGTCTAGCAGCCTGAGCACAGAATAATGACACTACTTATAATTATAATAATTAGTAGTTAATTTTTGACATGAAGGAGCTGTACTTACACCTACCTAAGGAAGGCTACTTAAATCTTACATATGCTTCACAGGGAATGGCTATTGTCTGAATAGGCACTTATGTATTAATACACTTGAACAACAGTTTCAAGCCTGGCTTTTCATTTTATTTCATGTGGGCCTTTAGCTTGCACAGGATGAACAAATATTTCCCAGTTCCCCTTGGAGACACCCCCAGCCTGCCTTACTGGTAAATGTGTAGCAGCTGCTGTCAGCAATTTGTTCCAGAAATTCCCTGACACACTGGGAACACTCCTTCTGCTTCATACTGGTAGTGGGGGAGCAACATTGAGAGATGCAGTCCTGCAGAAGCTTGTGGGCAGGGGGTGAGGGGGGATGGCAGGGCAGTGAGGAAAAAGATTATTGAAAACCTCCCCAAAGCAAAGAAGGATTAAGAAGAAGAAGGGGACAAAATGCCAGCAAAACAGAGCTTCTAGAGCCCAGGTGAGCATTTACAGTGCACTAAGTGCCTCCTTCTTGCCCCTGTAGCCAACTGTGCAGAGGCAGCAGGTCAGCAGTCCCTCCATTAACAACTGAGCGTTGAAACAAAGCCCTCCAAGAAGCACTTTCAAGGATACCTTGAGTCCTTGCCAGGGAAGGCTGCCTCGAAGGAAGTACATGAACATATGGCCTAGGGCTTCCAAATCATCCCGCCGGCTTTGCTCTAAAAGGGAAGACAGATGACACATTTTGTTTGCAGTTATCAAAGCACAAAGGGGTTCAGAACTAAGTAATCCCTTCAGAAAGGTTCTGTTTACGCATCCTTTGTACATCTACAAAACCAGGGATAGGACTTTGGGTCAAAACCTACAATAATATGTACTTTCTTGGCCTAGATCTGTCCTGGCAAGTAAAGATCCAGTGAAAAGCACAACTGTGCAACTCTTAAAATCAAGCCCCAAACCCCAATGCTATGACTTCAATCTCCCAAAGGAGGCAATTTGAATGAAATGTGATTTCCAGTATTCAGGCTCTATTTACCCTTTGGTTACTGCCACGGGAAATGAGCAGCGGGTTAAGCAGCTAACTCCGTTGAAACTGTCCCTTCTGGCTAGGCCTGCAAAGACTGCCCACCGTACACGCTTAGTGCTTTTCAGTCATCAAAAAATTAACACTTAAAATTCTTTTTCACACCGGCAAACTGCAATGCAGAATCCTTTAGCTTCCAGTCTGCTGGCATCATGTCCATAACCACCTCAAGAACATATTTAAATGAAACTGGGTTCCTGTTTTCTGTGAGCCGAGCCTCTATAAAACAAGTTGCTGGTTTTTGTTTGTTTGTTTTTTCCATTCTCTTTAACTGGGAAGCTAAGGATGGCAAAGACCAGCAGAGTATTTAATGAAAGGGCAATTTCATCTCAGAAAACATGCTACATCCTTTGGTTGTCGCATTGAATACAGGTAGAGCATGCCTCAGTTTCTAATTTGCCAATTATGGCCCATCTCAGACATTTTATGTTTCTTTTTCAGAATCAATTTCCAGGATTGATCCAAAGATGTTAACCAGGCAAGAGTAGCAGCTAGCTAGAATGTGACTGCTTGCTTTGGCAGCAAGTGCCATGCAGGACACAGGCATTCAGCAAAGCTGCCTACTCAACTCACAGCGCCTCTGCCCACCTGCTGCCTCCAAGTATGGGGGCATTTGTGTGCAAAACGGTGAACTGAACTCTACAGAGCAGATGCAGAAGGAAAAAGGGGCAACTTTCAAATTAGCAGTTTCAAAGAGGTCTTTGGAAAAGGTAGTCACTAAAGGCAGGGTGGGGATGGTGGTGGGGAGATGCAGCAGGGCAGCCCCGGCTGATATAAATAATACAAAATGGAGTTGGTGCACATCAATTGAAATAATCCTTAAAAGAATGACACACAACAGCAAGGCTACTGGAAGCTTTTGTCTACATGGCTTGCCTGAAGACTGCAGTAAACTGCTACATATAATTGACGGGGTGTGGAGCCATTAGACAAAAACAGTTTGGGATGAGAACTGAAAGATGAACAAATGAAAATAGAAAGAGCGAGCAGGGGGAGTTGAGGCCTCCCACAAAGCGAAACCACACCCTGCCGTTTCCCACTGTGCCACACCTCCTCAGCACCACCGCCCCCACCATGCGCACATCCATGTGTGCACATCCACTTCCCGTAATGAGCCTCTAGGTAATACAAACTCTTGGGACAAATGATGGCGTTGAGCACTAGAGGGCGAAACTTTCCATATTATCACACTGATCACCTAGCACCCCGAAAAATGCCTGACTTGTCAGTCACAGTAAGGCCAATTATAAAATGAGATTTTAAAGAATAAAATCCACTGGAATAAGTGATAAAGTAACCTCTCAAATCCTGAAAAACACAGCTGTGGAATATGGACTAATGGCGGGGGCTGGGGTGGGGTGGGAAGAGGAGGACCTTAACTCTAAGCATTGCCCCTGATTTTCCATTAATTTAATTTAATTTATGTGAAATTAACTTTGAGCCTTAGTTTACCCATCTGAAAATAAGAGTGGCTGATTTAGAGTCTCTATGCAATCAGCTCCTTGCTTTGAAATTCTAAAATAGTCTAAAAAGGATAATTTACTCCATCAGGGTATTTTAGGAATAAAATAACAAACACTAGAACCATGCTTTATCACCACACTTCTTCGAACCTTCCACATGTGTTTGATTCAGCATCTCAACACACTTATTCTTCATACAGGACAATGTTATTATCAAAGAATCAACTGAGACAATACTGCTAAGTCAGAAAGATGTGTTAGATTTATATGCATCACATCCCAGATTTTGGGTCAAATGCGTTTTATTTAAGAAAAGGCGTAAGGATGCCAGTGTTCTCACTCTAATTTCAACCACCAAATAATTTGTCAGCTGTTTCAATCAGAGCTTAATCAGAATGGGAAGGTGATTACTCTGATCCTGAAAGCAGATACCCTGCACCACTCTAATGTCCTTTTCAGAACTGTCACATGCTGATAGACTCATGGGTATAAAAATACCAAACGATTACAAAACTCATTAAAACAATACCACCTTAATGTGAGGAGACTTTAAACTAGAAACTAGCCCTTGGAAAGATAAAAGAATTTGGAATCCTTAAGGTATAACAGGTGTCTTCATGAAAGTCATCAACTTACCATCTTATTTTCTCAAATATAAAAATCACTTACCCTGTGAAGCAGCAAGACTCACCAGTGGTAATGCACAGTGGGGATAAAATTTTGATCAGAATAAAAAGTGGTTTTAATGATCTGCCCAATCACAGAGGAGAAAATGAACACACCTTTGCCAAGATGCGTGTTGATAGACATATATCTCGCCGTTCCAGTTAAACTTTTGTGTTCCCTATAAGGGATATGCTTTTTGGTTTCAGGGTCAATGTATTCCTTGGCCAGTCCAAAGTCTATAATGTGTATAACATGTTCTTTCTTATTGCCTTGTCGGCCAATCAAGAAGTTCTCTGGCTTGACATCTCGGTAAATAAGATTCTTTGAGTGTACGTATTCCATTCGAGAAAGCTGAGAGAGAAAAAAGATAAGTTAGACTCTTAAAAGTATATCACAACATTTTCTTTTCTCAAACCAAGGTTTTAGTTACTGAAATGAAAAATTTTAAATCATCTCTTTTACATCACCTAGTGTCACTTTATTTGTAAATCAGACATATTTCTTGATATAAATGCACACATACTAACCAGCTTAGTAAAAGGCAGGGAGGTGGTACAATTCAGCTAACTGGTAACACACAATTTTACCTCAAAATGCCACAACATGCAAATGACAGACAGAATTGGTTGTCTTAATATTCCTTCAGAAGGTAAGTATTTGAAAGGCAAGTCATATTCCCCAGGTATATGTTAATGACCTTTGAAACAGGGGCACCACTGTTTTTCACGCCACTGTCTCACACACTTCTGCTCACACTTTCCTCTCTCTAGACAGAACTCCACAACCCAGCTCTTTGTTACAGAAATCTGGCATGTGTGGGCTAGAGAACTTAATACTGGCCTGACCTCACATAGCAGCAGAGGTAGGACTATGGTTCTTATGCTTAAATAAGTACACCCTTAAATAATAATCATATAATTATTTCAAATATCATTAAGTATTTCTATGAAGCTTTTTGGCTTAGTATAGAAAGGAAAGCTTGGGCAGTTAAAAGTCTTTCTTAAAAGTTTAAAAATTTTCACTGTACAGTGGGTGAGACCATTATTACTTCAAACAAATAAAGGTGCATTGGCAACCTTCTCCTGAGAGGCTGACACACTTTTTTAAAAGGACCTCTCTCAGCTGCCCCTTATGCTAGTACTGGTGTGTGGGCTGGTGGACACTGAGAGAGCTGCTGCTAGCTGTGTTGGGCTCTGGGAGACCTGGAGGTCAGAGAACAAAGGCAAATGCTTGGTCACACAACTTCTTAGGTGGACCATGAAGGGGAGAAGGAGAACAACAGCAAAACCTTACAGCTACACGTTTAAAGCCCATAAATAAAACATGACCGAAATTACTTGCATTGTACAACTTCACCTAATCATACTTTCTCCCTAATCTAAAATTATATAGTTCCACTTCAACTAAGAGCAGGGTATTGCTTCAAGGTGCAAATTCCTAAAATAGAGCAAGCTGCCAACACAGCGTGCCTCTCGGTTAACCCTTTTTTGTCCCAGCCAGCTTCTGAGAGCTGACAAGCCCTTGAACAGGAAGGTGGTAGAGGAAGCTGCCTATTCTCTCCGTAGAGTGGCAACTTACCAATTGAATGGCTATCATTAACACCGTCTTTAAAGTAAAGGTTCGATCACAGAGGTCAAACAAATCCTCCAAGCTAGGGCCAAGAAGTTCCAGAACCATGGCATTGTATTTCCCACATGGTCCAAAGTAATACACTTGGGGGAGGCCTTCACCTGAAAGCAGAAGTGGGGCGTAGAGTGGGAGAAACAAAAACCAAAATATGAGGCAATTGCATTAGCAGTGAGCAGATACAAGTACACTTTGTGAGATTTTCATTTCCTTTCATAATCCCTCCTAGAGAACTTAAACTGAGCCCAAGTGCTTCAATGGTAATTAATAATGGGTGGGAAAGGCTAAGTCATCTCACAGTATGTTCAAATAGGCAGTTATTTAATATCAGAGTGTCAAAGGCATTTCTACTGCACTATCAGGCAGAAAATGGTCCCTGGTCCATTACTGGATCAGAGTGTAAATTATTCTTCCCCAACAGATGCCCAAATTGCAGGACTGTAACAGGTTCAAAGGCCAGGCTAACAGATCTTGTTGCACTGGCTGGGTTCATTAGTACTCTCCATGCTTACTGGCAAAGCCACATGGAGCAGTTTGCAACTCTTGCCCACACAGAGATCCCAGCTTGAAGGAGTGAGGTCACAGAGGGTGCAGCCTGGCCCCAGGCCAGCACAACTGGCCCTCTTCGCAGAGGAAGTCTCTGCACTTTCCTCTCTTCTGTCAGCTGACAAAAGTCAACAGACACTCAGGCTGGCTTTGATTGCTGATGAGTAAAATGATACGGGAACAAAAGAGAAAAAACTCACAATACTAGGTTTCCTAGTACATTTGAAATCCATAGGTATAGGCGACCAAAATCTCGACTTTCACCTATGTGGCAATAACTAATGAATAATTTCTTACCTTGAAGTGTATTGTAAATAGGAGTTACTCAGTTCTTATGTGTTAAATAGTGCCGTGTAAACAGTGGATACAGATAAGACCATGGAACTTTTTTTTTTGTTGTTGCATTATCTGGTCTCACAGGAATGCTTACATCCTACACCATGGAGACTACAGTTATGTATGCTTGCTTCTTCTTCTTTTTTATGTTTCATCAGGGAGTTTGGTTTTAATGTCCATTAAAGTCTATTAGAAATGATTACAACTTGCCCAAAGGAGAAACTAATGATGCCAGACTATAAAACGCGGGTTTGAAACACAGGATCTCAGTCCAGGCGAGCGGGCGGAAATAGCTTCGATCGCTGCTGCTGGTCCTGGTGCCATTTGCAGTTGCTTGTCTTTGAGATCGCTGCATCAGCAGCGTGCTGTGCTCCTGGACGACATGCATTCTTGACTTGCTCTCTAGGATGAGTCCATGAGCATGTGAGTGGTGGGCATGGGTAATGCGCTCGGCTGCTCGCTGAAAAGTTGAAGGTTCACGTCCGACAGAGGCCCCTCAGAAGAACACGCGTGACTGACGTCTGAAAACTCCGCCATGGAGCAGTCCTGTGGGGTCGGTCCACTCCAGCTCTCACGGGGCTGCTTGAGCTGGGCCCGACAGGATAGCCACTGATTGATTATCTGTGTCACTGTCCAGCCGAGGTAGGAAGGTTTGGGTCTTCTCTTTAATTTTTTTTATAGTTAATATACCCGTGGCAAAATTCTGATCTCAGCTAGGTTCCACGCCGCAGCCACTGAGAAATCCCGGGGACGGAACGCTGAAGGTGGCGGTCAATCAAGGCCCGCTTGCTTCTTCTTCCAAGTGTTTTTCGACAACAAAATTCTATTTTCTTATTCCCTTTTGATTTGGATGGGAGGGATTCAGACTGAGTAAGTATTTATTTAATATTTACATTTTAACTCAACATGTCCATGTCCCTTTCCAAGTAGTGTCTTAGACAAGACACTAGTAATGTACTCATGGATATATAACGTATATATCTAGTTCATGGAATGATTCATGGATATGTAAAATATATCTCTAGTTCATGTACTCAACAACTTGAGTACCTCTTTAAAATATATTCATTTTTACTTAATATTATCCAATATAGTAATGTAATATTATCTAGTATAGTATATAGTTTTCTCTTAGCTCCAAAAATCCAAATATTCTCTGAATTGAGCCTGTAATTGCTTTATTTCTCCCTATCTCTAAAAGGAAACAGGTTTTAATCTGAAGTGATTTTTTATTCTCCCCTTGATGTTTTGAGAAACCCATTCGTCACTTTGTTTAAAATATATAGACCCTAACAGCTGTTCCCAATGACTCCTGCTGACAATTCCATAACAGAGCATTTTACTTTAGAGATTTATTGCTTTTATTAATCAGATACATGGTGGCTGCAGTTTGGGAATCTATCGAATTTATGCCCTAGATTATAGCTTTTTATGTGACTAAGATCTGAAAGCAGATAATGGCAGCAGCCCAATATCCACTCTCCCTTAATAACACAACCTCTAACTATTGTGAATAGCAACATGCCCAACTATACAGCTTTCTAGTCTTCCTTGACAATGAGAATGCCTAATGCGACGGAAGCCGACCTGGTCGGTGGGTGGCTCTGAACACGCTCTGACCGGGGCCCTGACTCCAATGGCTTGAGCAGGGTGAGAGGAAGAGCCGAGCCACTGCCGTCTGTGACGCAATCAGACCCATGGCTGATTTCAGTTCCTCTGGACTTCTGGACCCCAGGAGAACAAAGCAATCTCGATCTCGAGTAAGTTCTGATTCATTTGGATTTTTTTTCTTCCCATTTAAACCTAATCCTGATTAATAGGAAAATTACTCCTTTAGTTGACTGACAAAATTTGGGCATAATATCCTCCTTTTCAAGTATAGGCAAAAAGTCAGGCCTTCTAATAAGTATAATATTGGCAAAATCTCTTACATTTGCTGCCAATCCTTAAGGATTAGTTTAAATGAGACAAATGATCTTCTTGTTCTTGACGATATTTCGTACCAGTCTAGCCATTTCTTGCCAGGATTCTCCAAGTTTACAAAGAAGTCAAAAAAGCATTCTGGGTGTTATCTGTAATTTCTAATTACATAGTCACTCGTAACTCTTGCCTGGAGATTTCAAAGAAGTGAGGAACTCCTGCTTGCTGCAGGATCGCAGTCACCTCTCAGGACAATGTTTCTACCACTATAAACTTTCAAGTAGATCCAGGAGACGAGTTCGATCGTGTGGGAAGAGCTCCAATCAGTGTACTGTATCTAATACTTGATTCTACCACACACTCTGACAATATCTCTCCAGGTTAACCTTTTCATCTGTAAAATAAAATGTTTATGTTGGTTCCTTATACAGAGACAGGCTTTTCTACTGCCTTAAAAATTTACAGGCTCAGAAACCTACAGGGACAATGCCACATTTCTATAGTCACTATAAGTTAGAACCAACTTGATGGCAGTGAGTTTGGTTTTCTTTGATTTGGGTTTTTTATAAAACCCAATATTCTGACTATGGCTCAGATTTTTTTCCTTTTAGCTACTTTTTAGGATTCCCCTTTGTAAAGTAACACAGAACCAGCACAAATGCCCATCCATGTTAATGGAGGATGTGCATTACTAATTCAGGTGTAAGTTGGCAGTGGTATTAAATTGCACATGTGCATTAGAAAGCATCTCTAAATCTTTTTAGAAGCAGACACAGTGACTTTATCTCAGATGTGATGAACTAAAATTTCTATGCTGTAATTTCTAGCAGTTAGCTCCACAGGAGATTCTGACATGTAACCTCGCTGGGAAACACTGAGGGTAGAAATAAGGAGGACACTTTACCTTGTTGTATAGAGTTACAGTCTTGGAGACCCACAGGGGTAGCTCACCCCTGTCCTATTTAGGGATAGCTTTTAGTCGGAATCAATTCCATGGCGGTGGTTTTGTTTACCTGGTTTTGTGACTAATATAGTATAAGGATTCTGAAAACGGTGATATCCCTGTCTCCTCCAGAAGTTCTTTCAGATCAGAAAACTGGACTCAATACCTTATGAAAGAAATTATTTTAAAGCTTGTTTCAAAAGCCTTGTCTGTTTAAAACATCTAGGTAGTACCAAAACTATGTATTCAGTAAAAAGATCTCTTTAAGTGATGTAGCTATCATTTATTAGAACTATCTTTACAGAATAATGCCCATACAAGTTCCATTCCGTGCCAGGATTTTTCATGAGTGCACACAGGTGACCAGTGCATGTGGTGAAAGACACAGACATGGGCCCACCGAGAAAGCCCTCTTCTCCTCTTTGATCCCAGTTTACTGTACAGGAATGATTTATCACTTGGGCTTCTCTTAAGTGAGAAATCATGCACCTCACTCTTCTGTTATAAGAAATATTGCTTAAGATCTTTTAAATTAGGGATGTTGGAGCTGAGAGGAATTACTACGAGGCAGAAAAAGGGCGAGCATATGGTGGAGCAGGATTAAGGTGAAAGGAAACAGGAACGATCTAGGAAACAAAGATATGGATAGAGGTATAAGCATAGGTGTGTATATATGTTAATACATTAATTCATAAGAAGAGAGGTATTAGCCTATGTACATATATTTATATGGGAATATACTGAGGATGTGGATGGACTTTGGGCCTCTGCTCATTCCCTCTTCAATGCAAGAACACTTTGTTCTAACAACCTGGCATTCTGTGATGCTCAACCTCCCGACACAATTGCTGGAGACAAAATGGGTGGAATACTTTCATCAGACTTGGGATAATGTAATGCAATGTAAACTAGGCACATGGCAAACAAGCACTTCCTGTAAGTAATTATGATATACTGAGAATGGGCAGGAAGGTCAGGTGAAGCAGAAATGCATTACTAGATTTCAGTTTTTGATCCATGGCACACCAGAAACTGTTTGTTTTTTTAATAATTTCTCATCTACTCGGGAAATAAATCACTAAGGAGATTTCCCTCATAAACTGCATAAAAATATGGGGATTAAAGAGATGCTTACATTTCTTCTGAAAGATTTCCAACATGTTCATTCTATTTCCTTCAGCCACAGGTTAAATATCCTATAAACCAAAGCTGCAAGGTTATATGTGCACAGCACAGGCTGTCTTGTATATTTTCCCCTGGATACGATGAAAAGCTTTTCTATTCTTCATTAATGTATTCTTTTAAGCACTGGTGGACATATGGCTCACACATATATCAAGTTTCAGTGAGGTGTACAAC